AATAAATACAATAATAAACCAATCCTAATTTATTACATGCAGTTTCGCAAAAGCAAAACAAACGCCGCAAAAAAATAAAATTGTTTAAAGTTTATTTAAATTCCAGCTGCGTGCGCAAAGCGAAAAACGCAAAACGAATCAAAACAAAATTCAATCAAAAACAATGAAAATTCATTAAGAAATGAATTAGTGAATATGAGATGCTCTTTAATAGAGTTTCATATTGATAAAGACTTTTAGATATTATAGAAATACTCTAAGTAAAGTATGTTGACAAATAGAATAGGTTTTCGGTAAAAGAAAAATGTAAATAAAAAAAATTATTATTAACTTACAATAGGATTTTTTTCTGGAAACTATATAAAACTTAAGATATATGCTTATTCATATTTTTACCAGATATATAGAACTTCATAGATCAACCTTTATTTTGTATACACACATTGTTATATACTGTACTACCTATCTATATTACTTATACCTACATTAGTGTATATATACATATACAATAGTATAAGCATTTATTTAATTGCTTACATATTTCATATAAAAACTCAGATACCCTCTTTCAGTGTGCGCCCAAACACATTTCTTGAATCGAATGAATCACGGTGCGAGCAATTCGCTCAGCTCGACTGCATCGCGTGCCGGCTGTGACTGCATTCGGCGCTTGGATTATGTAAGCCATACAAACAGCGAGAGATACAGAAAACAAAAAACATAAAGCCGAACTCAAACAGAGGCTGAGAGAGACGAAACAACAGTGTGGCTTAGCTTGCCACAAAACCTGAGCCGGGGTTTTCCCAAGGCCTGGCCAAGACTTAACGACCGACTCGGAGCAATGAGAATTGGCTAGGCCAATTGCTAACTGAAGCTTGGCGTCTCTTGCAATTGCCTTTTGGCCGGGATTTTCCAAAACTCCATTTAGTTTTTGGGCAAATCCGTGGCACAGTTGCAATACGCAAATGGAGGTGAATGCGGTTGCGGCTGCAGTTGCAGCTGCACACAGAGCTTCCCCATAATTAGAGCCCAATTTTAGCGCCTGCTTTGCATGAAGAAATGCCAAAATGCCGATATATGTGGGAGCTATTCAGCTATTGGTTATGAAGCGATTGAGACACACAGACAAAAACCAGTGACCTTCGAGTAAAAAATGGGGGAATGACAGAGAGAAAGAGAGTGAGAGAGGAAGAGATAGAGTGAGAGAGGAAAAGATAGAGTCAAGCAAAGACACTAAAGAGGAGTATGCAAATAAACGCAGATTAACGATGTTTCGAAGAGGCTACAAAACTGTGACAAATTATCTATAAGCTAGAAATGATAGAGTAATATAAAGGCCTACAAAATTTATGTAAATGAGTTGAACAGGAAGAAGTTGATAGTTGTTTAGATGATGAGTTAAATGTCCTTTAATAAAAGAGACCTAGGCCTTGCTCAGGATGTCTTTTAGTCTTGCTTTGTACCTTGATAAGCCTATGAATATTTCGAAAAAAAGTAATACAAAAATGTCTAATATTTCTAAACTTCTGAGAGAAACGTAGGAAAGGTCTTATAGCAGCATATATCCATATTTTGTAGACAAATGTAAGGCCCAATATGCTTGTGGATAAGTATCAAGCAATCTATCAATGTCGATTATGCATGTATATAATTAACCTTTATATAAGCAGCAAACATAGATCCATTTTTTACTTGAGTTGACCAAACACCAAATGAAACGAAAAAGATTTCATTTAATATATTTTTACCTTTTCAACTCCCCGTAAAATCATCGAATTGAATGTCAAGCCCACAATATTTGACATATATCAACATAAGAGCTATTCGATTAAAGATTTGCAATTAAAAGATCAATGGAAGCCCTGAACCCGATTACAGAGCAACATCTACAGCTGGCTGGCACAAGGTGCCCAGAGCGGAGTGCGCACAGCATAAGGTCAAGTTCAAGCCGCGGCTACTGGGAATTCACTTGGCAAATATTGAAACTAATTTCCAAAAAACTCAATCGGAAGTGCGTTGACTATAAAGCAGACTGCTTCAAACATGCCCCCAAAATCGAAAAACTTTTGACTGACTCAGGCGAAAAAACCCGATGGTCAAAGCTTTGCGATTGATAAAAACTACACGAACTGTTGAACTGGTGACTGTTTGGCAAACACTTGAGGCCTAAGGTGGGTGAGAGACGACGAAATACCCTGTAAACATATATGCAGAGAACAATATGGAGAGAGACCTGGAAGAGAAATAACTTATGGCTAAAGTTTATGTTATGGATTGGGTATTATATTGTAGATAACAACTTTTAATACTTAAGCGGGGTGTACTAATAGAGTAATACAGAAAACAAGTCATTGCATTATCATCATGAGCTTTAGTAAACTTCATTGTAATACGAAATGATGATCGGATAATCTAGTAAAAAGATGGCAGCATCTGATCCCATTTACTTGATTGAGTAGATACATATGTATATACCTACTGCACTTATATATATCGATTCATTGATTACAGGGTATACAAACAGAGTGAAATGCTTGTGCTGATTAGCATAATTAACACGGAGCAGCGGCCTGCTTACACATATTAACAGCTTTCTTGGAAACGTTAACATCAAATGGCAATTAAACAATCCAAGGTCAATCACACACACACACACACACAGTCAGACTGAATGACTGACTGACCGACTGCTAGTGATTGAAAGAGAGTGAGGAGGAATACTAATGCCTGATCACTGATCACTGACCATACACAACAGGGTTCGGCACGCGCGCGATTCCCAGACAGAGCTACATATTAATAAACAATATATGATTTTTATGAACTTCGGGTAAAACCGCTAAACGGAAAATAATGTTTGATTGAATGACTGAGCAACCGAGTGTGCGTTTGCTTGCGCCTGGCCCTGGGGTAAATACGAGCTGTTGCTTCCAATTCATTTTTGGGCCAGATCCGGTTTTTAGTGGCGTTGCCCTTTGAGGCTCGTCGTCGATTAGTCAGCGGCCTGATCTTTGGGTCAGTTTTCGTTGAATTTGCTGCTGACCCAATTAATAAGTGCAAATTTCATAAGCAACCGCCTTATGCGGAAACTGTGGTGAAAATTTGTACATAAACATCTCGCGACATCAAACTGCAGCCCACATAAAAAAAAAAAAAATAACAATACATTAATGAAAACATAAAGCGCTAATTTGGGACGTAAGAGTTTTCAACATATTTCTTTTTTTTTAACTTTTAATTTTTAATTTGGGTCTCTTCTCCATCTCTTCAACTCTGTTAATGTGCCCCCTTTTAGTTTACACGATTGCAACAAACTTAATTTGTAGCTAAGGTTTCCGCGTAGAGCTCATCTTAACCTTCGCTGATACGCAGAATGCAGTTAGGCCGAAAGAAAAAACCCAAAAAGTAAAGCCTTTGACGTCATAGCCACGAATGGTGAGCTCTCTGTTTTGTTTTGAGCCAACAATTCGCAAACAAGCAGCAGCAGCCGAGGCAGAGCCAGCCGCAGCGACAGAGCCAACGACTGCGACGCCGAGTTTGCGCATGCGCAACTTTTGTATAAAATCCAAGGCGCAGTCGAAAGCGAAATCAGTGAAGAAAACGTTAACAAACGAGGCAGACACAGTGTGGTGCAGTGGTGCAGTGATAGGATAACAAAAAATAATAAGCACAAAGACCACTTACATAAGGATTACCAGCATATTGGAATATTTATATAAAAAACCGAAAGGTAAGAGTGAGCGAGAAAGAGATGGAGTGAAAAGTGTTGCAATCAGTGAAATATAAGAGGATGTAGAAACAGATCTGAAAGACGTGTGAATAAATGAAAGACACAAAAGTCAAGTCTTACCAAATTTGACATATTGATAAATATATGTATATGTGTATACATAAGAAATATTTAAGCTACAATAGATATTGCAAGTCTAGCCAAAACTAGATCTTCATAAAGTGAACAAACGATGGGAGTTTTATAAATGTTATCATATACAATTTTATACAATATTAATTCCCATAAAATCAAGTCAGCATTCATGTAGAGTAATAGAAGCTGGCATAGGCAATCTACCACACCGTAATTGCCTCTAACATGTAAACTCTAAATAACATATGTATATGATTGATCATACTACCCATATAACATCTACTATCAGCCACTTTAGCTCCTTTCTTCAGCTAGCTCATTAGTTTAACAAGCTGCAATTGCAATCCCATTACCATAATAGTAAGCTCGCCCACTGCCACGCCTACTATACCCATCAATGAGCAGTCAATATTCGATTGATATAGTATATATCGAAGTCAACGACCTAAACCCTATATATCAAAAAACTTTCACTGCAAATCTGAAGACAAGCTCCCAGTTGCACACACACACACACACACACACACACATAAATTAACTTTATTGCTCAGGCAAAAAATAAAATAAAACAATACAAAGTCGAGATCAATTTGCAATGCAACGTTGCACACGACTTCCGTTCGATGGGGGGCACAGCAAAAGTGCGCTTTATATAACCCGAAAAGATCTCAACAAGAGACTCACCAGCGACCCACGCTCCAGAAAGAAAAACACATTAAAAGCGTAAATGACATAACACGCAGCCAGCGGGCGGGCAGAGGCATGTAAATAGTCGGGAGTTACGAAAATGCCGAGTCAAAAACTGACGCCGAACGGACGCTGCTGTCAAGGCAGAGATCAAGTTGAGCGATCAGTTTTTGGGGCTTGCCAAATCTCGAGCCAAGTAAAATTACCTCATTGAGCTGGAGCGAGCGGGCGGTCGGCCGTTGTCTGCCATCATGCACGGTCTGCGACCTCGAACGAAAGTAAAAGTCTTTTTAATTCAAGCCGCGCGGCGCTGAGTCAGCGCGAAGATTTGAGTAAGAAAGACCGGTTTCTTCTCTCGTGCGATTGCCACAGCGAAATGCCCGTGAAAGAGCGGGCGGGGCGGGGCCAGAGTCGACTGTGTGTAAATTGGGACAATGACCAGTTGGCTTGAACATGCTCTGGGTTATTGGTGTCACCGAGATTATGCAACGGCCCCAGCTAACTTTTGTTTATTTCTCTCCAGCACACGCACACACACACACACACGCACGATGAGAATGAGAATGCGACACAGTTTGGCCTGCCTGCTGGTGCTGGCGGCCAGCTCCGCTCTGGTGGCCGCCGACTCCAATTGGGGCAACGAGTGGGCGCCCATGGACGCGCCGGACTCCATGCTGAGCAGGCGCTCGGCGGACACACAGCCCGCGGCGGACGCACAGGGACGCAACTACGCCGTGCACGAGAGCACACAGAGCAACGCCACGGAAATCGACACAGTCATCGATCAGCTAATCAACTCGCGCCGTGAGGGCCGCAATCTGGGCGAATATGACGCCGTCTATGCCGATGGCAACATCGATCAGGCCCTGCAGGAGGGCAACGATTTGCAGGCACGAAACCTCATTCGGGACAAGCTCTGCGGACTGGGTCTGATGAGCTGCGATGTGGAGGAGAAGCGTCCCTTCTACTCGACCATCTATGCCCAAGGACCACCGCCACCATCCAGCTTCGGCGGCGGCCCCTATGGACCAGCCAAGCCCATGCCACCACCCAGCTACTTCAGTGGACGTCCACCCATGGGCCCGCCATCCAACTCGATCAACTCCTTCGGACCTCCGCGCAAGGTGGGCTATGAGGGCTCCTACAAGCCTCCGATGAACAGCCTGTACAGACCTGGCGGTCAGTTTGGCGGCTCCTATCTGGAGCATCCACCATCCGGCATTGATGGCTCCGACGGCATCACCTACACCAAGCCCCCACCTGGCTCTATCATCTACGACAGCAAGCCACCTGGCCCACTCTACACTGGCTCGCCCAACGGACCCGGACCCATCTACAATGGCCCCTCGAATGGCGTGCCTCCATACAACTTTGAGAATCCCGAGAAGATTCAGGGCGCCAGCTCCTCGCTGAACGGCTTCTATTCCCAGCAATCGTCATCGTCGTCTTCGGCAGCCACCTCCTCCAGCACCAAGGTCGTTGTGGGTGCTCCGCTCGATGCTGGTCTTCAGCAACATGTCCACCATCATTTCCATCATGTGGATGCCGGTGATGGCGCCAATATTCCAACTGTTCCCATTCCAATTGGCAGCGGCCAGACCATCAACACCGACTTCAGCGCCTTGGCCCAATCCTCGGCCACGTACACGCCCCAGGCACAGGCAAGCAGCTCCGGCTTCACGCAGTCGAATGCGTTCACAGCTGGCTTCAATGGCGCCTCCCAGGGCGGTCTGCTCTCCCAGGGCTATCCCGGACAGAAGCCCACTTCCGGCTTGGGTAGCTTCGGCAGCAGCTCTGGCTTGTCACAGTCCAGCTCTGGCTTTGGCCAGAACGGTTTCAGTGGCTCGCCCAGCGGCAGCTACCACAGCCAAAATCCCGACTACTACAAGAAGGAGCTGCACAGCGGTGCCTCCAGCGGCTACAATGGCATCTCCTCGGGCTACAATGGACAAAGCCAGGGTGGCCTGTACCAGGGCGCCGGCGGTGGCTATGACACGTCACGTCAGCAAATCGTCGACTGCCAATGCGTGCCCATCAATCAGTGCCCGGCCGCTGACCGCATCGGACGCAAAGAGGATCTGATTCTGGCCATCGATCCCAGAAATCTGGGCAAGGACATCGAGGCACTGAGCGACGATGCTGCGGCCAATGCCAATGCCACAGCCAAGGCTGACACCAAAGAGGAGAAGAAGGCTGAGGATGAGAAGAAACGCACACGTCGCCAGGCCGACGCCGACAACAACAACAACAAAGAGAACGACAGCAGCGATCTCTCATTGGACGCCCAAGGGGTAAGTGTCTGCGAAGACTTCAGTCCTTTAGCTCTTGTTAGTGGCCGACTAATGCAATTGACACTTAGTATAATGCTCCCTAGTTGAGACTAATTGTGATCTAGTTCCCCACACACACACACACACACAAGAAAACACAAACACACACAAGTAAACACACATACTCAAACACAACTCAACTGCACGCATTGATCAACGCTCCACGCTCAACTCAAACTCCGCCAAAGGTAAACCAAATAACCCCCGCTCGTCGTCGTCTTCCTGCGTGGATTTCTCTGCCAACGACACTGAGATTCGTCACTAATCCAACTGCAACTAAAAAAAACAACCAACCTAACCACGCACGGTCTCTAAAACGGTTCGCACGTCCACGTCCATCTGCTGCTAGGGCTAACACCGTGTGTCCTTCTTCCAGCAGCGTTTCGGCGCACTGGGACCATCTCCGCTGGCACTGCCCGCCCTCCAAGCCATTGAGCTGATACAGCGCAAGATTCTGCCCACATATGGCGTTAGCTTCGGTCTGCCCTACCCCTCGGCTGGCTATCCAGGCGGCTATCCAGCCAATGTCCTGAACGACTATTATCCCGCACAGAATCCCAACTTTGGCTCGCTGGGCCCCAATGGCCTCAATCTGGGTCTGGTCAATGTTAATCCGCTGGTTTCGCTGCAAGTGAGCAAAACGGATTACGGCGAGAATGTGGTCAAGCCACTGGTCAATCTTCACGTAACACCCAATGCGAATATCATTCAGAAAGTGGGCGATTTCTTCAAGAAGACGCCGAGTGAAGTGCACAGCACACATTACCATCATCACGATCACTTTGCCAGCTACGAGCATGAGCATCATCCGCACCACTATAGCGCACCACCGCCAACACACCACCATCACGTTTTCGAAAGTTCGGGCCCACACTTTGACGTGGAGATGGTGCACAGCTCGCCCATCTTTGAGTACCACAGTGGACCCTCAGTGCATGTGCCGACGCAGCATTATCATCACGCTGAGCACCACTCGGAGGCTCCATTCGAGCACTCCTACAATTCCATTTATCCCGAAACATCTCCCGGAGACTTTGGCTCCACTGGCTTTGGCAGCTACGGCGATTATTCCCAGCATTACGAGCGCAGCGTCAATGCCACTGACCCCGACTGGTCGGCGCCCAGTCGTCGGGGCAAGCAGCTGAATGTGGGGCAAGTTCATAGCATTCCCGCTCAAGCGCCTGGCGCCGCGGCGGGCAGCGATCATGTAACCTTCCCTCGTGATCGCAGGCGACGCAGCGTTGATAGGCCTGAAGAGTTTGAGTTGGGAGTGGAGCAGGTAACCATAGTTGTGGACAGTTGAACGATCCCGGACTGTTAGACATATGAGAATCCTCTGTTGAGCAGTTAAGCAGATGCTAATCCTTCATTCTCCATCCTTGCAGCGCGCTTACTATGGCAACCGTCCTGTGGAGAAGACCTGTCGCATCAACGAGGTCTGCTGCCGTCGCCCACTGCGCCCCCAGGCTCCCCCGCAACAGCAGCTGGGACGTTGTGGCGTCAGGAACGCTGCCGGCATCACGGGCCGCATCAAGAATCCCGTGTACGTCGATGGTGACAGTGAGTTCGGCGAGTATCCCTGGCATGTGGCCATCCTCAAGAAGGACCCCAAGGAATCGATCTATGCCTGCGGCGGCACTCTCATTGATGCCCAACACATCATCTCGGCGGCCCATTGCATTAAATCGTAAGTGGATTCTTAGCTCTTCCAGAAGATTTAGACTAAACTTCCATTTCCTTCTGCAGTCAAAATGGATTCGATCTGCGCGTGCGCCTGGGCGAATGGGATGTCAATCATGACGTCGAGTTCTTCCCCTACATTGAGCGCGATGTTGTCTCTGTGCACATTCATCCCGAGTACTATGCTGGCACCCTGGACAACGATCTGGCCATACTGAAGCTGGATCACCCTGTCGACTTCACCAAGAACCCACACATCAGTCCCGCCTGTCTGCCCGATCAGTATTCCGACTTCACCAACGCTCGCTGCTGGACCACCGGCTGGGGCAAGGACGCGTTCGGCGAGCACGGCAAATACCAGAACATCCTCAAGGAAGTCGATGTGCCAATTCTGTCCCATCATCAGTGCGAGTCGCAGCTGCGCAACACGCGCCTCGGCTACAGCTACAAACTCAATCCGGGCTTCATCTGCGCCGGCGGCGAGGAGGGCAAGGATGCCTGCAAGGGTGACGGCGGCGGTCCTCTGGTCTGCGAGCGCAACGGCGTCTGGAACGTGGTCGGCGTGGTGTCTTGGGGCATTGGATGCGGCCAGGTGAATGTGCCCGGCGTCTACGTGAAGGTCTCTGCCTACTTGCCCTGGATTCGGCAAATCACGCAGAGCTACAAATGATTAGTGGAGACAGTGCCCAGAGCGGGGGCCGTCACAGCCAATGACGACACCTCCGATCAATTCGTATTTCACTTTTGAGCAGCCATTTCCATTACGCAACGCACTCTTTGTTGGCCCACGCGTGTTGACTGTTACCGCTCGTTACCGTTACCCCGTCTTGTTTAGGCCTTTTCCTTATTACCTTGTTATTATGATTTTTTGCTACTTTACTATTTGTTGTTAAAAAAAAACACTCTTTGTCACACTCAGATTCGATTGTTGGACAAATATGTTGGCGAGTGGCCGAGTAAAGCGCTTGTCGCCTATTCTCCTCCACTTGGAAGCTCCGATTCGTGCATCGTGTATAATAGTTGTGTTTATATTAATTAATTTATTTTTTATACTTGTAATAAATTAAAAACTATTTAAATACATTAATTTATCAAAGAAAACGAAACGACTTTTCATTATAATTATATAAGATGTTGATGTTGAAATGTAGAGAAAATTAAAAGAAATTGTGTGTCTATGCCGCTTTAAGTAGCTTTTAAGACAGTTACTAACATCAGTCAAGCAAATATCTGCAAGATCATCAAGTTGTATCAAGGGTTATACAAAGATAGTAGTTTGCATTATCCAAGAGTTATTACCTAACAAGCAAGCATTAGAAATCAATAAAAGGAGATACTGATGCTAGACACAGTTAATAATAATATTAACATACTATACATTTTTAGGAAAAGCTGCACTATAAAAGAAACAGAGATATCAAGAGGTTCTATGTGTAGACTGATGGTAAATTCTACTGGGCCGACTGTAGGAAAGCGAAGGTTCTTTGAAAAAATAAGAGCAGCGATCTATGCTGCACTCAGGTTAGTGAGCGATCTGATCCATTTGAGCGAGAGGGAGAGAGAGAGCGAGTGAGAGAGACAGAGAGAGAGAGAGAGAGAGAGATAGGGAGAAAGTGAGAGTAAAAGAGAGAAATAACAATACCTTTCTAGACTATCTCTGTCATTTACCCACTTTATATATTACAAAATGTTTACTCTTATTTAATACACTAATCCCTTAAGATGACTACCTGAGGTACCTTATCTAGACAGCTACATATCATAAACCTATATATCAACCACATTTTATATACTTTCATTCACACAATTATTTTACATAACACACATTTTTCACACTTTTCGCATATTATAATATAAAAAATATATATATATGAATTTTTAATTATTATTTAAAAGAAAGAGAAGAGTTAACAATTAACAAAAAAGCGCAAAAGTTGTGCTGCAACCGAAATACTATTATAACCAGCTTAAGATCAATTACAATTGGGTGCAACCCATTAAAATGCGAATTATAATTTTTTTTCGTCAGCTTTGCACCACCCATAAACACAAGCAGCATAAAGCGAGCCACCGTGCTAACAAATCATTAAGAGAGACGCCATCAAAGCGCGCACAGCTATGAACTTCCTCGAGCGGGTGTGTGTAAGAGTGTGTATGTGTGTGTGTGTGTGATATTCAAATATATCATAAAGTCTCACATGTTGAGTGCCCGTTAAACTCAAGAGCCGCAACAAGACTTTCCGCACTACTAAAAAAAAAAGTAAATTTATAAAATTTCTGCACCGCTGCCTGAATCGCAGGCGTATAAAACCCATTGGCGCAGCTGGAGCCGAAGCTTAATACAATTTAGACAACGAGATGTACAACAAGTGTTTGAAATACCTGATACTAGGTGAGTTCAAGGATTACCGCAGACTGCTCTCAGGGATTAATCACAATGCATCAATCAATCAATCGCAGCGCTGCTTTGCACTCAGGTGTTGGGCAGGCTGCACAAGCGCAATGGATACTTCTACAGACAGCCGCCGCAGGCACAGCACCAGTATGGCAGCGGTGGCAGCTACTTTGAGCCCTCGCTGCCAGGACACGAGGAGGTAGTAGAGCTGCATCATCATCCACAGCAGCAACAGCACCAGCAGCATCAGTCGTCACATCACAGCAGCAGCTCGAAGGGCCATTCCATTGACAGCAGCAAGGCAGGTTACAGCATAGGCAGCGGCCTGCGCTCCATTGCCCAGGGATCGGCAGATCAGGCTTACAGCGCCGTCGCCAATCAACATGCAGCCGCCAAGCAGGCGGCTTTCATAGCCAAAAACACCTTGGCGCAAGCTGCATCCCAGGCAGCCGCCACAGCGCAGGCGGCGCTCGCGGGCAAGCAGGTGATACTACAGGAGCTGGAGCAGCAGGCAGCCGAGGCACAGCGTGCGCTCTCGCGCGAACTGGAGCAGCTGAAGGCGGCCAAGGTGTCTGCGAAGCTGGCTCAGCAAACGGCGCAGGCTGCGCACCATCACATCTCGGTGCTGACGGCAGCCCTCAACAATGCCAAGTCGGTGGCCGAGCAGGCGGAGCAAACGGCTACCGAGGTGTCCAATCAGCAGGCTTCACAGGCCACCATGGTGGGCCAGGCGAAGAATCGAGTGGAACAGGTGGAGGAGCAGCTGCAGCAGGCGCGCGTGGACTATGCTGCCACCAAGGAATCGGCTCTGAAGGCAGCTTCCTCTGCGGCGGCTGCCCAGGTGAATGCTTCTAAGGCGGCGGCACATGCTACAGTTGGACTCCATGAGAGCATCAATCAGCAGGAGCAGCACCGTGAGGAGGAGGTGGAGTCGTACGACGAACAGCTTGACACTAGCGGAGTGGGTCATACAGCCAGCGACGGAGCTGAAGATCGTTCACACTCCGGCTAGTCCACTTCAGAGTATTACAATTCTAGTTTATGCCTATATTTATGCGATTTATGAGCAAATCAAGCCAAAAAGCCAGTCAGCAGACAGACCGTAAAAGCATGTTAATACACACTTGATATAATAAATTTCATTTATTTAACTAAAGTAGCCTTTAATATTAATAGGATCACACAATTTGAACACACGCCGCGTTGCCAACTACCTCAAGCACCACTACTAAACAGCAAGTGGCAACGCTGCCATATGCACAGCTGTTTGCATAACTAGTGAATGGCACTTGTCGCAAAGAAGCAGCGCGCACCGGAATAATAATAAAATAAAATTAACATTGCCCAGTTTGAATTAATTAAAGTGCGTGCAGCATGAGTCAAAAAGTAATTCAATACATTGGGCGCACCACAGACTTTCGCGGCAACACTCTGTGGGAAATCGTCGGCAATCTGCCCGACTGGGGCATCGGTCGCATGGTCATACGTAACATGTTTCAACGCTACCCGGAGCCCTGCTACATGCGCATACTAAAAGTGCAAGCCGTCGACGAGCAGGTAAGAACGGAAAAGAGGCAAAATAGTATTTTTCTCACATCTGTCTCCTATATATAGGCCGACAGTGAACGTAAGGTGCGCGTCACTGTGCAGAAGACATGGCGTGGAGTCACCCAACCCAAACCCGTGGAGATCTACAGCACCAGCTATAAAGCCGATTATGAGCTGGTGCCCGTTGACCAGGAGCATAAATATCTAGAAAATAAGAAAAAGGTGGATTCCGTTGTGCTGCCCACAAAGATTGAACTGCCGCCACTCCTCCGGGAATATATTAAGGATGAAACTGGTGATCCAAATCCGTTGATCAATGTGCATTTCAAGAAGACGCACAATAAGCAGGCACGTCTGGTCAAGGACGGCGAGCAGCCGACACTGGAGCTATCCATGGATATTGGCAAGCCATCAAAAGTTGGCGCCAAGCTCTATGATGGCTTGCTATAACGAATGTGTTGCCTGAACTTTGGACACCTCGACACTTGTTGCATTATTAAATCTTTAATTTTACCTTAATCACAATGGAATTTAAATATCTACGCAATGGATTAGTAGCCAGGCACTCTGCCTAACTGTTGCTTAGCTCTTGGGAGCGCAATTTGCGCGTCAGGTTATCCACCTCGAGGCCCAGCACATCGAGATTCTCTTTGAGCGTTATATTCTTTAGCAGCGTGTCCTCTAGCACAGCCTGTAGCTTCTTATTAATCTCAAGTGAGAGCTCCAAAGACATACCCTTGCTCTCAGCTCCCTTTACTCCTCCATAGATGGCAGCCATGACGCCATTGCCATATTTGACCAGCTCGCTTTTGTTCTGATCACTTTTGCTGGTGGTGAGCGCGCCAGCTGTCTGATCTCGCAGCATATAATGCTGAACTACTTTGGACTTCTTTTGGACCTCGGAGACCAGCATTTGTGTATGATTCTCCAGGAATTCAATGCGCTCTGTTTGTCGTGCTGAAGCCTGTTGCAGACGCAAAATGCGCTCAACTAAGACTTTCTTTGAAGGTACTGCTTGTAGGTCTGTTGTTGGAGCGGCTGCCGGCTGCGCTTGTGACACACTGTTGACCACCGTCTCAGATTCGGAAGACTCGCTGGCGCGGCTGCACTGGCTGCTGCTGCGACTATGCGTGATCAGCTGCTGCTGTGGGTGCTGCTGCGGCTGCTGCTGCTGCTGCTGCTGTTGCTGTTGCAGTTGGTCCTGGCTCAAGTCATTCATTGCCTGCTGACAGTTGCGACAGAAGCCCGCTGGCTTTGCATCTACAATGCCTTTTTTGTACTTTTGCAGCTCTCGTTGGAGCTCTTTCACCTGCGTCGCATGCTTGTGTTTCGTTGCCTCAAAGTGATTCTGCAGCTCTTCCAGTTTAGCGTTGACTACTTCGTACATCTTTGTCTTCTCCGACAGATGTTTGGCCAGCAGCAGACGTTCCTCAATCTTCTCCATTCCCTCCGCATGCATTTGCTCCTCTAGCTCCAAGTATTTGGCATCGAATGCAAGCAGCTCCTGCTTCAGCAATTTATTCTCTGACTCGAAGCCTAGCGACTGGTTATAAATAGAAACAAGAATTTTCATGATAGTGGCGACTTCTTCATATGGCCTCGGTGGCGCAGTAGGCAGCGCGTAAGTCTCATAATCTTAAGGTCGTGAGTTCGAGCCTCACCCGGGGCAGGTAATTTTTTGTCTATCACTTTATTATCTTATCAGAAACTTACCTTGACTTCCGCCAGGTAAATATCATTTTGAAGCTTGACTATTAGCTCGGTCATCTCTTTGTTAATGTTCAGCAGCTCCTGTCTCTTTTCCTGCACCTGCTTCAAATCTACTTCATTATCCTGCACCAGGGATTCCAGTTCTTCTATCCTCGTCTGCGCCTCAACCAATTTCCGCTCGTTGCTGTTTAAATAGTGAATAATAGAAGTTAATTATCTTATTTATGTTGTAATTTTATTAGCTAAAGCTGCATACATTGTATTCTGTGTGCGCAGCAGTTGCAGCTCAGCCAACTGGCTATGCAATTTCGCTGCATTTAAGAGCTCGTCGCTGTAGGCGGCATCTATTTGGCTGTGCTGCGCCTGTAACTCCTTAAACTCCCCCGAAAGCTGGTCATGCTGCAGACAAACGGAAACTGGTTACTTCTTATTATAAATATATATTGTATATGAGAATAGTCTGAGAAATTGCTGAGCTAACAAACAGTTTAATAAATATATGTTTAAAATAAATGCATTTTGCAACTTTGCAATTTTTCAGACTACTCTCTTATTTCATATTTACCGCTTCTTTTAACTGCTGCAACTGCTGTTGCAATTCTTTATTAGCTTCGCATTGCTTTTGGTGCTCTTTACTTAGCTTGTCCAGTGAATCAGTCTTGCTTTTGATTTCATGTTTAAGCAGTATTGTGTTGGCTTCAAATTCCATCTTGAGCTTCTCTGCAAGAGAATATATATTATAGATATATTCTAACGAATAATGTGCAGGAGACCCAACCATTGGCCTTTTCTTCTAGCTTATTTGGCGCATTGCGTTCCTCTTCCAGCTTGCGCTCCAGGTTCTATAAAAGACGAGTAGACTCAATACAATACAAACAAATGATGAAGATGAAGATGAAGAACTCACTGCCTTAGCTTCAACTTCAATGTTAAGCTTGTTGGCATGATATTTGAGCTTGGACTCCAAGTGTCCCATTTCCGTTTTAAGCTTTTCACATTCCCTTTGATACTTGCGCACTTCGTTGCACTGCCAAAAATATATAGTGGAGTTAGGTACAATTCTCTTTAAGTCTCCTTACACTTACCTTTTCATCTATGATATAGGTCATACGTGACTTTTCCTCGTGCACCGCCTGGAAGCGTATGGAGACATTTTTCACTTCCTTTTTGGCATCTGCCAACTGTTTCTCCACAGTCTCTTTTTCCTTTTTGGCATCGATGAGCAGCTTCTCCTTCATAGCAAATTTAATCACTGTACTCTCCTTCTCCTTGTTGGCCAGATCCATCTCATTGCGAAATGCCTGCTTCTCCTTCTCCAATATCGCATTTTCCCTCTGCAGAAGTGTCATCATATTATCCTTCTGCATATTTGAGGTACGCAGTTGTTCCAATTGGCGTTCATAGTTACGACGTTGTTCCTCCAGCTGTGCAAGGCAATGTACATGTGAGAGGATGTCCCGGCTGTCCTTGTTTTCCTTGCTTTCCTGTTCATCCTGCGCCTTAAGGTCTGCATAACTAATTCCCGTTGGTGGCTCATGCTCCGCCTTCTCCTTCTCTTTGACCGGTTGCTCGTTAACTAATTCCAATTCACTCTTGTCTTGTGCACTTTGATCTGCAGCTTCTGCTTTTTTAGGGCTTTCTTGGCTTTGTACTTCGTTTTCGCATTCCAGCTGCTGTTTACCCTCCAGAGCAATTTCTGCATCCACGTCGGCGTCATTTGCTAATTGTGTTACTGTCTTCTGGTTTGTTAACTCTGTGTTATTTTCATCATTTAAATTAGTACACTCATTGGTTGGCTCTATAGCCGTCTCCATTTTTAAGTACTTATTAAACAAATGCTAAATACGAAAATAAAAAACAAACAGATTTGTTTTTACATTTTCTCTCCCACTGAAAAGGCCATTCACACAGCGAAACAAAATTATTATTATCGATAAGTAATCTGTTATCGGACAGCTGAAATTTGAATAGAGATGAGCAGTAAGTGCCGCTCTAAGTCAGCCCCAGCGATTGCATGTTCAGCAATTCGCGTTAACTCATCTCTAATGCAGAAGTAAACAACGATGGTTTGCGCGCTGGGCATTGAGGGCAGCGCCAATAAAATTGGCGTTGGAATTATAAGCAATGGCAAAGTATTGGCAAATGTGCGACGCACATACATTACACCGCCCGGGGAAGGTATGTAGAATATATCTCGTAAACTTTAACTACTTTACAATCCCTTATATGCAACAGGTTTTCTGCCTAAGGAAACGGCCAAACATCACCGCGGGGCGATTTTGGGCCTTGTGCAAGCCAGTTTGAAGGAGGCACAATTAAAACCGGCTGACTTGGATGTTATCTGCTATACAAAGGGCCCCGGCATGGCTCCTCCACTATTAGTAGGTGCCATTGTGGCACGCACTTTGTCGCTGCTTTGGCAGAAACCTTTGCTGGGCGTTAATCATTGCATTGGCCACATCGAAATGGGTCGCCTGATAACAGGTGCCCAGAATCCAATAGTGCTGTATGTGAGTGGTGGCAATACCCAAGTGATTGCCTACTCCAATAAACGATATCGCATCTTTGGCGAAACCATAGATATAGCCGTGGGCAACTGCTTGGATCGGTTCGCTCGCATTATTAAACTCTCGAACGACCCAAGTCCGGGTTATAACATCGAGCAGCTGGCGAAGCAGGGCAAACAGTATATCAAATTGCCTTATGTGGTAAAGGGAATGGACGTCAGTTTCTCTGGCATTCTGTCACACATCGAAGAGCTGGCAGATCCAGGAAAAAGACGTAATAAACGCAAGAAGCAACAAGATGAACCCGAGCCAGAGTATAGTCAAGCGGATTTATGTTACTCGCTGCAGGAAACGATCTTCGCAATGTTGGTGGAGATAACAGAGCGAGCCATGGCACACTGCGAATCCAATGAAGTAAGATATCGACTTATAGTTATAGATGATTGGATATTTAAGTTTGTTTTATTAACAGGTGCTCATAGTCGGCGGCGTTGGTTGCAATGAGCGACTGCAGCAGATGATGGGTATTATGTGCGAGGAACGCAATGGCAAGGTGTTCGCCATTGACGAACGCTACTGCATTGACAACGGCTTGATGATAGCTCACGCAGGCGCTGAGATGTTTAAGGCCGGCGCCCAAATGCCTCTGGAAGATGCCTTTGTTACGCAACGCTATCGCACGGATGAAGTGCTGGTTAACTGGCGAACAGATTAACTTAAATACAGTTTACTTTTTCTTTATTAAAAACTACCCGCGACAATTGTACAAAGCGATGAATAATCATATGTCTGTGCTTCAGCTATGTGCCTATTCCCTTAGAGCGCCGGCTCCTTGCCCGTCCAGAGGGGCTTTATCTCCAAGGGTATGATGCGTTTGCCCTCAATGACATACACGGCGCCGTTCTTCTCCTTCTCCAGCACATTGAGCATGCAGCGCGCAACATCCGTGGCACTCTGTTTGCTCAGGCGATCCAAAATCTTGTACGTCTCATCGCTGGTCTCTGGGAAAATGATTTTCTCCGTGAAATTGGTAAACATATCCGTCATGGTGGCACCCGGACAAACTGTGGCAAACTTAATGCCCGAGCGTTGGTAGAACTTGTCGTTCTGTGTGGTGGATTAGCATTATGATATGTATAAGAGGTGCTCAATTTAGCTACTTACACCCAGGCAGCGCGTAAAGTTAATGATGCCTGCTTTGGTGGCACCATAAACTGGTATGATAAACATTGGATCGAGACCCACGACGGAGCTCATGTTAAGCACAATCCCTCCATTGCCGCCATTCTCTTTGCTCATGTACTGCAAAGCGCTCAAAGTAGAGTTGATGATGCCACCCTAAAAGAGAGAGAAAGGGAGAAATTGGGAGATTCTTAACATACCCCCTGCCTGCAGTTGTTCTCCTGCTTACCAGATTGACCAACAGCGTGCGTTGGACATCCTTGTCATTGAATATGCCCGCCACGTTGACCACAATGTCAATGTTGCCGAAGGTCTTCTTGATCTCCTCGTAGGTGGCCTCCACGCCCTTCTTGTTGGCCACATCCATTTTGATGATCATGACGCTTTGCGTGGGATGCGCGGAGCGCAGCTTGACAAACTCCTCCAGATTATCCTGTATATCAATGATGGCTAATTTCTGTGAAGCAGACAGACATTGCTATAGTTGCCCAGGTTAGGTTAGCATCCTAGACCTACCGCGACTCCTGCTGCCAGCAGCTGCCGGGCCACTTGTAGACCTATTCCTCCGGCACCACCCGTGACCACTGCATTTTTGCCTCGGAACGCCATGACTCTATATGCTCGACACTGAATCAGAAATCTTTATACAATCCAATCTCTGCGGCTGTCGTTGCTGCTCTGCTGCCTTCAGGGCTAACCGTGCCCCTTTTATAGCCCCACTGGCTTAGTGCTATAATCGCATAGTAGCTGGGTTATATGATATGCCGTCTTATATCCGATCTGTGATTAGCACCCTTCGACTAGCTGCAATTGATCGTTGGCTGCAGTTATTATTATGCAAGAGCCTATCCGATTTCCGATTTACACAGTGGCTTAGTCTAGCGCTTGATCTGCTTCACAGTGCTCTGGTTTTTTGCAGCGAGGTCGCCTTTGTTGTCGTTCGCCTCTTTGACTGCTCATCCCACACAGATGTGTATGTGAGTATATGTATGTATGGATATGTGCGGCTGCAGTCTGCCCATTAAAACTGACTGAATTTACTCAAGGACTTTCTATGTATTTCACTTTATTTGAATCAAAAGTAAAGCATACACAATCTGCAGTACACAGGTGTAAATCTGTGTTGTTCTGGTATATATATACTATATATGTATGTATATTATTATTATTATTAAACTTTGTAAAGTGTATTATTAAAAGTTTTTGTGCTACGCTTGCAAAAATGTCAAACTTTTTATATGTAAATCTATTCATATGAGATATCAACTTGATTTGGATGTGTAAAGGTATGATTTGTTTTGATTTTGAACTTTTGGGCCGTTGCGTATGTAAAAATGTAAAACAAAATGAAACAAACAAAAATTGTAAATTATACCAAAAATTGTATAAATTTATTTTATGCACTTAAAACACAACTTATATTTTAGAGAAAGTGAGAGAGAACTCAGTAGAAACACAAAATAATAAATTAGACAAAACGTCATTGAAAAGTGTGTGAGTGAATGAGAGGAAGTGGAAAAGCTCGTAGGATTATTTAATGGGCGCCATCGTAGGTATCCTTGTGCTGATAGCCGCTGACATAGCCAGAGTCATCGACCAAATTGCGTCGGCCGGCAATGCCCTTGCCCTTGCCGGATGCATCGAAGCGCTCCTTGTGTGAGCCCGTATACTTGCTGGGATCCGTCAGGCGGTCCACAGCAGCCGCTGCCTTGCCAGCCTATCGAATATATATGAGAGATATATAATCTCATTTTTGGTATAATCCTAAGAGCTAGATACTTACGGACACCTGCTGAACGCCTGGTGCTCCACAGCTGGCCATTTTCTGCTTAATCGTCGCCAGCTCCACCTTTTTCGTCTTGGCCAAATCCTCGAGGAATTTGTTGTAGTCGGGCAGCGTTATTTTCAAGGCCTTGAATTTCTTGAAATGTATGCCCGTATCGGTGGTTGTGATCTGCTTGTCGAACACCTTCGCCTGCTTCATCCATTTGTCGCTCTGCGAGAGCGTTATCTGCCTGCCATCGGATTTGGAATCGCCAAACTTGGAGAATGCCTTGAACTGATCCGCAAATGTGACCTTCGGTGCGGTCTCCTCCAGAGCCAGCTGGCCGAGCTCCTCAACGGGCGCCGCGCTGCTGCCATTTGCTGTCTCCTCAGTCATGTTGTTGGCTCTGCAAGGGTTAAGATTGGGTTTCAGTTTACAGATCGCGCGATTACATGGATATATATGTATTGTTGTTGCGCAGCTGTTCACCTGTGAGCCACAACGCTTATTAACATTTTGGTTTAGCTCTGCTCTCTATATCGTACTATAGCTTTATACAAATCAAAATCCGATGCTACATGCTCACGTATACTATATGTATATATCTCCCTCGCTGCTTGATATAGAGATAGCTTATCAAACTACGCTGCTATTGTTTGTATATACTATGTATATTCTTTATTCCGATGATATCATTCGAGCGTACTATAGCGCTGCGTGAGCTTTCGCAACTGCTGCTCGCTAATGGACTGCGGAAGGTTGCGTCGAATGGATTGGTCAAGAGCTGCTCTCGTAGCTCAAACGCATTTGCTCATTAGCAATCATTTGAATTCTAATTGGAATATCAAACAAAACAGTTGTTGCTTTAAGTTAAAGCTCTTACTATACTTAATATTACTCACAAGCTATACGAAATGGCGTGATTTATTATATCTATACATTTCTTATATATATAAAATTATAAATCTCTTATAAAATCTTCAATTTTTATATCTTCAGAACATTTTTATAATATTTCCAACATGACAATTTCAGTAGGCATGATATGTATATAACATATTTTCTATCATCTATCATACATCGAATATTGATCACATTGCTAATTTCATCATTAGCAATCCTTCACTTTCACATTCCCACATTCCATTTTCTCACAGTGTACGACCCGTAGATAACGGCAGCGAATAGCTACATCGCTTGGCAATCAATTAATTTAACCCACAGTAACACACGTACCGTTTCGCAGTGCCCTCCGGGCCGAGTATAGACTTAAGAGCACATAAATCGTTTAGATATTTTCAGTGCTAAAGACAGCGCATAGCATAAATTGTCGTCATGTTTAACATGGATGTTAAAGATCTGTAGTAAAGGCCCGCACAAATCGAACAATAAACAGTAAATAAAACGTGAGCAACGATCATTAATTATTCGGGAATCCGCTGCTATATGGTAGCTATATGCACACATATCGACAGACCGAATTGTGGTAGCTGCACGAGCATAATTTAAATGAAGATAACGTCCCGGAAGGCAACCAGTTAAGAGGGAGAGAGAGAGAGGACGAGAGAGAGAGAGGGCAAGACTGAGCCATAACCAGATTCCATATCCAGATAATTGAATACGATGAGCTGACGATAAGATTGCCTGGGTCAAGGTTGCTCTACTCAGATCGAGCGGCGATCCATGGAGCGTAACAAATGTTGACTCTTGCATTGACAGCTACATGAGCTATATAAACAATATATGTATACCCCTATATATACGCCGCATTGAGTCTAGGGGGGAACTTTGTCTAAATCGCACGGCTTATGTCATCGACATTCAGCATTACGCGCCGCAATTACGTCGCTCGGGGTTCGGTTTTTGGGTGGGGCAAATTAAGTACAAATATACATATGTATATGTATATTAGAATAGAGAGATGCAACTGTGAAATTATTCATATAATATGATTAGCTTGCTCTAGCGATAAGCTAGACTTGTAGAGCAGCTACTAGAACTATTGAAGACTTGTTTTCTTATGAAAAAAAATAATTTTACTACAGTGAAGACTTCATAAACAAGCTCCTTAAGCTTATCGATGTACATATCTGCCCGAAGTCAAGCTCTGCTCTTATTTAAAACAAAGTTTCTACAATAGTCAACAATTGCTACTTAGGATTCATGTTGTGTACATGATCTACACAAAAATTGATCGGCGACCCAAATATGTGAAAGAGAGTGACCATGAATTTCGAATAGTTTTGGTACTTCCTTTTATGACAGCAACATAGAATAATTAACTCATGAATTTATATGAGTTACAAATTTGATGTGTGACATAAATGTTGATAAAGATTCCCAGAGATCTCTTATACATTACTGAGATTGCAAAGAACTTTGGATAACAATTTTAGATATGCATTCGAATTTTAGATATGCATAGCGAACTATTTTTATAGTTTTATGTATATTATATTTATTTATATTATATTTTATAATATTATATTATATTATAATGAAACTATAAATCATAAATCTTATCGCTTAAGCCCCTACACACACAGCTAATGCTAACAAATGTTGACAAGAAAATGTTTATTTTAAGCACAAAATCTTTGACTAATTCCGCTCTTCCCTGATTTCTCACGCGTTTTAGTGCAGCTGTCGCCGAGTGACACAGGCAACGGGTGAGCTTTAGCGAGTAGCCACTGCATTACTAGGGCTTTACTGTCTGCTCTCTGCTAGGTCTTACTCTGCGAGTCGCTCAGCTCGCTCGTAACATCAGTCAGGCGCCTCAGTCAGCTCCACAAATGTCAAGTGTAGAAACTAATTACAGCGCTGCGTGCCTGCCACGCCCATTACGATGATTTGTTTCGCAGCCCTTTTGTGTTCGGGTAATTGGAAACCCATAAATACTTTTAAGAAACAACAACAAACCCGCAAAACATGACAAAAGGCGATTCGAACAAGCCAGACGAATGGGCAAGCAAACGTGGCTAAGATACAATCGAGCAAAAGATACTTCATAATCCGCTTTGGCCGGCGGGACCATTAATATATGGAGACAAACATGCATACATAGGGGTATATAGATATAAGTATATATACGTATATCTATATATATGCGTGCCTATATGAATAGTTTGGCTCATCTCGCAACATCCGCATCTAGAGCTGGCAGGCAGCGCGTGGCTATCCCAATATATTAATTAGGTTTAGCCAAAATTGGAGAACAATATGAATTCCAATTGATGTGTTTGGCACTATAAGGCAAGCAGACGTAACGACTAAGTGATGCGTGTGAGAGATTGACTGAGAGATACCCTGTAAGGGGCAGATGTCAATTAAGAATCTGGTTAACGAGCTACTTAGATCCATGTTATGAAAGAGAAGTGCTTGTAGAGCCACCTCTATTTAACTGAATGAGACGACATGAAGTTATTCTTATAAATAGAACAGTTTTCTATATGGAAAATTTTAAAAACCTTTAAAGCTTGTGGATTGCAAGACGATATACTCCAAAATACTCTGTACTTAGGCTCACAGTAAAATATGCTATGATAAAATAAAAGATTGTAAGCAGTCAAAGTAAATGAATAATACATAATATATCAACATTTGCAGGTAATCATATAAGAAAGACTTCTTTGTATTGTACTGAATGGAGGCGACTTTATTCCTCTATCTCAATTTTCTAGGTATTAAATCGTCTACTCAAGAATAGTATATGAAAGAAAGAGAATGTTTGTATTGATAAAGACTTAGCTCTGCAATTAGACATTCACAATGTTATGCCCTCTCTTTAGTGCAGGCTATAAAAAGTGCGAGATTTTATAGAGCTCTAGATATAGTTTACAATGTGAATGAGTGCTCCAATTTTGTAATACGATAAGTATATGAAATATTGGTCGCACCAATGCATATTTATTAGAGGCATGTGAAACGCAACGCACTTAAACAGGAAACGCAATACATGGCATGACAGAGGGCGGGAGCTAGGGTTGGGGTCGGCAGTGGGTGGGTTGGGGTAGGTGTCAAGGGTGTCACACATAATACAATACGAAAAACATTGAGCTGGGGGTCAGCCATGGCGCAGCATGAGTGGAAATAGCGACAGAGGCAGAGGCAGCGTCATAGGCAGAGGCAGAAGCAGAGGAAGAGTCATGGGCCTATGCTTAAGCATATTTACATACATATACACACATATATATGTATGCATGCATGCATAAATGTCTGAGTAGCCCTTGGAGCGCTGCTTATGACTCTGCCTCTGCCTCTGCCTCTGCCTCTACCTCTGCTACTGCCTCTGTCGCAGCAGCTTATAGATGACATCACCTGCCCAGACCGCGAGTCCCGCATGAAGCAGGAGCACAGGAACGCGCAAGCGCCGCATACATACAAACGGAAGCACAAATGAGCAGGGAAAGAGAGAGAGAAGAAGTGAAGTGAGAGTCTGATTGAGAGGCGGGAAAAGGCGCCCAAAACGATGCTACGCATTGTTGTGTATATTAAAAAAAAGAAAAAAGCTCCCGCTGCAGCAGCAAAATTTTCTATTTTGAAGCAGAGAAATATGGGTCATGCAGCACTTGAAAATTCCAACAAAGGGAAATGATGCTGTCATTGAAAGAGATTGTAATGCTGATGTTGTGTGTACTCATATGCAGATATGTGTGTATATGTACAACTATAACTGTGTGTGCACACATAACACTTCAAGCTTCAATAGATATATTCACTGAGTTTCGATGCGAGCACAAATTTTTACATCTTTTGCAACTTACATTTTATTTGCTTAAAAAACTTGACAAAAATATTCAAATTTTTCAAAATTTGTTTGTGTTTTTTTTCTAGCGTGTTTATAGTTTGTTGTGCGTTGCTGCGCGCGCGTTTGCTGTCGCTGTCGAGACTCGACTGTTTGGTCAAACTGCGCAGCCAGCGCCACAAAGGGGGCCAAGCGGCGTATGAGTGATATTTGCCGAGAATTGAGTGAGTTCTGCTACTCGCAAAACTGTTGAATTTGTCAGCTAAACAGCCAGCACATAAATCATGGCCAGCAAGCGGCCAACTTTTCCCAGCCAAAACACAGTTCCAGCCCACAGGCAACACTGTGCGTATACGTATTATACACATAATTTGTATATTTTAACGCGATGACTTCATTTCACTACTAAAAAAAAATTGAAAAAAAACAAGCAAATCGAATTTATAAATGCCAAAGAGTCGAGCGTGAAGAGACTAAAAAATATTTATCAACAAAAAAAGTGACGCCAGTCGCCTTATCAACGCCAAAATTTCCACTCAAACTGTGTTTTGTTTTGAGTGAGAAATTGAGCGCTGAGAGGCGAGAGAAGAGAGAAGCGTTTACTCTGAGCATTGAGCGGGTCAATTGTTGTTTCTTGTGTGAGTCCAGAAATTAGAAAACGATGCGTGAAATTTGACAACAAAAACACAATGAAGCGAGAGGGTCTCAAATTAGAGAAAGAGAAAGACAGAGAGAGATAGAGAGAGAGACATAGAGGGAGAGGCACTGCCTTAACTAAATAGTATGAGCTCATGAGTTGCGAAAAGATTAGCTATTCATTCGGCAGCAGCTAATTGTATATATTTTCATATGCAAATGACATCGTCTGAGATCCAATGATTAAAACAGCCCAAAATGAGTATAAATAGTTACGAGCGAGTTCTTTGAACTTGTCTGATCGGAAATTGACCAGGCTTTAGGTTTGGGTAAGGAAAACAAGCCGGAAAACTTAATCAAACACTTTCAGCGTGTTTACCAACATTGCTTCAGTTAATTTTTATTCAGTTAATTTATTATGAAACCAGTCCAATCCCTGCTGGCCATGATTTATGCGACCTGTCATTCCCATTTTCGAGCAGTTTGTGCGTTTGGTCAAATGCCTCGGATGGCGTCATACAAAGTCAGGCACGAAAGACAAGCAAATAGGAAGCAGCAGAACGAACAAATAGTTGGTTAGCCAAGGCATGTCAAAGCATTAATACTCTTATAGAATGTTTTCATTCAGATTTTTGTCAAATTGTTCTCATTGAACCCAGGGCATGTCGATTCATATTTATGAGCATTAGAAAATATTATAATGCATGTAAGTTGAGCATTGACTTAAGATTGTATGGGAAAGAAAAGATGTTCACTAAGAACAGAAAATTATGCGATCGATATATATGTATATAAATATGAACATATTTACAATAAAAATTATAATGATATACATTTTACTCTAAATAAAATATTTGTTCAGCTTTACTTACAAGTCTTTTGCTTATTTTCTTACCAGAATATTTATTTTATTTTATAAATTAAACTTTTTTTTAATGGTAATTCTAAAGCTAATTTGACATCGTTGTAAATAATTAAAAATATTTTATTTAAAAATTATAATATATATAGCCTCCGAGTACAAGTAAAGTTAGTCATATATTATATATGCTGATGGCTAGTTAATTATATCTTATCATGAAAGCAGATATTAATAGACAAATGTGGAAAAGTACACCAGGAACATGATTATTTTTCACAGTTCAGGCTTAAGCAGCGAATTTCTTGATTTAAACGGAATTTTTACTATCTACAACTATTATATAACAGTTATATATAAGAAGGCAGGCGGTTTTTTATATTCTTAACGTAGATATAAATATTATCAATGGTATTATCTGAGGCGCAATAAATACTCAAGACCATAAATATATAGTAGACATACAAAAGACGTTACGGACGAAATGTTGATCGAAAGTTTCAATGAATACGCCCACTAAGGGGGCTGTTAAGCAATGAAACAGTATACAATTTTTTATTGTTTCATATGAAACATATCTAGTTATGATAAATAATACACCTTATATACATGATTTTATGTACTCACAAAGGTTTTTGTTTTTTGTTACTAAACAAAGCTCTTTTATTGCTCAACAACAAATCGATTAACGATCAACAATATCTCTCAAAAGTAATATAAACAAACAAACATGTAGCATGAATAAACTATAATACTCTGGCAGTCGTAGTATCTCAAGAGCAAAACAAAATAAACTTGAGTAAGGCAAACTTAAAGTTGAGTTAATCAAAGAAACCGGCTTGACGCAGAAGGTGTGTCCCAGCCAATAAGTAATTAGCTCCGAATTTCGCTCCACCTAATGATGCACAAATCAGGAGCAGGCGACAGCGGACAGTCAGTCGAGTCAGTTGCAGAGTGGAATTTGCTAAGTAAACAACAGCTGAACTGGAATTTAAAGTGATTTCGACAAGGGACATAAAAACGTCCCAGCTAAAGCGCTACAACTGGGGCTAACAAGATCATTAAGATGCAACAGCATTGTGGCAAATTATTGAATGGGATGTGGCTCTGATTAAGAGCAAGTGCGAATGCGGACAGGGGATATATGTACATACATATAGACGGCCATAGAACTAGGCTGAACTAAACATTAAAATGCACTTATCAAAGCAGCTAACAGAGAGAGAGAATGAGAGAGGGAGAGAGAGAGATGGCTACATTTGGCCAACAAGCTATCAATCCTAATCAGAGCCTGAGAGCTGGCTGCCTGACGATGCGTGGCCAGAGATAGGCTAAAAATAAACCAAATGCAATGCTGGAATTGAAATTGCCAAGACCTTGGTCGATCCACCACGGCTCTGGACAAATGTGGCCCTTGGCCTTCGCTCACCTTGAAATGCCGTTGGGAGCCATCCAATTGGAAAAAGGCAAAAAGATGCGTGGCGCATCTTAAATCAGTTACAGTCGGTCCAGTTGCCGTTGCCGTTGCAGTTGCAGCTGTAGTTGCAGCTGTAGTTGCAGTTGCAGTTAAAGACAACCACTTGAATGAGCACCAACAGCAACAAATGCAGTAAATTTCATTGAGGAGTGATAGACTAGTAGATACCCTATATGGAATGTTTTACAAAATGAACAAAAATCGTGTTATATTATGCATATATGTATGTACATATATAATGTGAATGTAAAAACATTTAATTATTTTAATTTTTATTTTAATCTATTTTTTTATTAATTATAGATTTTATTATAGACTATATTAGACTCCTGAACGTGAAAAAATACTCATAAAAAAATAGTTATATTTAAGCATTTTATTTTAATTTCTTTCACTCATTTCATTTAGCAGACTCATAATTACTCTACTATTTAATTTTTATTTTTTATAAAATCTTTATAAAATTTTTTATTTAACATATTTTATAAATATTTATTCCTATTACACATATATCTCAATTTATGTCAACTACCTCTTCCATAACTTACACACACTTATGCCAACATAGCATACCCTCGCTTATTCCTCTACAGGGTATTACAATTGAATATCGTTTACATAGCCCCTGCTGCACAGCTGCCACTCGCCGGCTCGTGGTCATGGCCTTGATCTCAGTGGCTCGCGCGATGGCCTCTTAGCCGCCCGATGCGGCCAACTTGTGATAAGAAACTGTTTGGCTTAGCGCTGGAGTGCGCTGCCTTCGTACGAGGCTGTCCGCCGAGCTGAGCCTTGCTACAATTAAGCCAAATTGACGCCTCTGTCGGGGCAGTTGCCGTTAACGATGACAGCGATGCAAGTGGACAGCCAGCTCGTTATAGAACAACTCAGCCCAGAGGGCGAAAGGCGATGCCTAGAACCCAAACGAGAACTAGAACCAGCCAGAACCTGAAGAGGCGAGCCGACGGTTTTGGTATAAAAGGACCTGATGGCAGCTAGCCTAATGCAGTAAGAACTTCAGAGTTCTAGACGCAGCTTCAACTTACATTTCAGCATGCAATTCCTGGTGCTCTCTCTGGTGGCCTCCAGCTTGGCGCTGGCCCACGGTCTGGCCGTCTACTCCAGCTACCCGTTGTTGTACACGGCTCAGGGCAGCGCCGTCGTGACGCCCACGCAGCAGCAGTATCAAACCCAGGACGTACTGGGTCAGTATGCCTACGGCTATGCTGAGCCGCACTCCAGCAAGCAGGAGTTCCGCAGCATCGATGGCATCACTCGCGGCAGCTACAGCTACCGCGATGCCGCTGGCAAGCTGCAGACCGTGGACTACAGGGCCGACGACCAGGGCTTTCATGTGGCCGCCACAAACTTGCCGCAGCAGTTTCGTGCGGTCAGCTCGGCAGGCGGAGCTGCAGACATTTCCGCTGCAACTGCCGCCGCCGCTGCCAACAATCGTGCTGACGCCGTCGAAGTTGCCGCCGCAACTACTCGCCATCTGGCGGCTCATGAGGCGGCTCGACTGCATCTGGCGCAGGCTCAACAGTCAGGCGGAGCTCAGCCAGGCGGCCGCTCAAATGTGGGCCTGCCTCTTCCCGTCGCCGACACAGCCGAGGTAGCTGCCGCCAAGTCGATCCATCTGAAACGCGTCGCCTCCGAAGCCCTACGCAACGAACTGATCAGCGCTCGATCCGTGCCCAGCACCAGCTCCCATGTCATTCTGCCCGTGCATTCAATCTACAGCATTCCACGCTATTACAGCTCCGGTTTCTATTACTAAGTTCAATTTGTCGTACATTTCATGAGCTAATAAAGAGATTGAAGACTATACTGTGTGGACTTTTGACTTAAGAATTGATCTTAGAGAAGTGCACATAGCTCTTTCTTGAATATTCAGAATTAGAGCTAGGGACAATACGTCAATAATATCTTGATATGCATAGAGGCATATAATATTAAGGGTTAACACCTCTGCCTTTGCTTCTGCCTCTACCTTAATCACTGCTTCTGGCTCTGCTTCTACCACTGTCTCTGACTCTACCTCTGCCTCTACCACTGCCCCCGGCTCCAACCTCTGGAACCTCTTCCTCTACATCTGCCTCTGGCTCTACCTCTGCCTCTACCTCTGCCTCTACCTCTGCCTCTACCACTGTCTCGGGCTCTGCCTCTGCCTTTGCCTCTACCACTCTGGCTCTACCTCTCTACCTCTGGCTCAACCTCTACCGCTGCCAAAGCCTATACCTAAGGTTCCATTGCTCAGATTTCCTTGATCGGGAGCGATGCAGCTCCATTTAATATAATCTTGATATAATACTACTTGATTATTGATAAGCTACTCGTTGAGACGGCTGTTCACTCTATAGTAGAGTACTTGAAGTCAAACCTCTGCAAAATAAGCCACTGTCAAGCAAATGAATCAGTCAATCGAATCGATCGAAGCAGGAATTCCTCTTGAGTTTATCTCATTCACGTTTTTGGCTGCAGCTCAACGGGCAACATTTCATAAATATTCGTATATTCACATATTTTGATTTCAATTATATTTAATAGCGGCATAAACAACATACATATATCAAAAGGTAGCTGCTGCTGGTTCCTTGACCTTAGGGACGCGCAAAAGCTGGCCTGATTAAGTTCTTGGGCTCGCTGTTGCCTCTGCCTGGCAGATGAAAACAAATTGCGGCTTTTGTGTACAAACTTATGCTCAACTTGTTGAAATCGACAAAATATTTATGTACAAACAGTGCAAGAGGAAGAGCCACAACAACAACAACAACCACAGCAACGACAACAACAACAACCACAACAACAACATCAACAATGAAGCCCGAAAAAACAGGGAATATGAAAGTAAACTGGACGACCTTCCCGAAGAACGCACGAAATGGCAGAGTTAGCTTCTGCTCTTTTGTGGCAACTGTAAGGCGGCTATAAAAAGCAACCACTGCACCACAAAACCGCACAGAGTTCTCTAGAGCGAGTACTAGTCCACGACACTAGCAGCGCCTCTTCACAAACCCACCCAATAAACCTCAACTAAGGAAATCCAAAAGAAAACGAAGATGCAGCCACTGAACTTGAGCTTTTATCTCTGCCTGCTGCTTGCACCACTGCACGCTGCTTGGGGTGGCTCACTGCTGGACTATGGCGCACCACCGGCAGCCGGCACCATCACCCAGTACCACAGCCAGGACGAGCACGGCCAGTATGCGTACGGCTATACGGCTCCGCTCTACTCCAAGCACGAGACACGCACCGCAGATGGCGTCACGCACGGCTCCTACAGCTATGTGGATGCCCGGGGAGAGCGCCAGACGGTGGGCTACACAGCGGATGCGTCGGGTTTCCGCATCACCTCGAGCAGCCTGCAGCAGCAGCCGAACAAGGAGACGCCCGAGGTTGCCCAGCTGCGCGCCCAGCATCTGGCTGCCCATGCAGAGGCCAAGCTGCGTTTGGCTGGCGGCTCAACTTTGTCACCTATACAGGATACACCAGAGGTGGCGGCCGCCAAGGTGGCTTTCTTCAAGCGCTTCGAGGCGGAGAAGCTGCGCCATCAGCTAACCAAGCCTGCTGCCATCAAGGCAGCCATTCAGCCCAGCTACAACATCATTTCGCAGCCCCTGTACGTCTATCGGCCAGCCAGCGGCTACATTTACAAATACAATTCCCTGCTGAAGGCGGCACCACTCACACGTGCATATCTGCCTGTGGCTTAAGCTTCCTAAATTTGTCATTCCATGAACGCATTTGTTTTGGTTTATGTTAATAAATATTGAAATAATGTGAAATTCGTGAATGGGGAACTTAAATAGGGACTGTGCATAGCACATGGAATATATATAAAACTCATATGGGGCAAAGGGTTTGGATAGTCAGCGAATCATAGAGAAGACCTCCTGCTGAACTTCGAATGGAACTAAATTTACTTCTCTCTAAGCTTAGATATTTAGAGAATTCAACTCTTGATCTGCTTTTAAGCATAGACCACTTGGCATAATGTAGTTCCCTTATTGATAGAGGATTCGCCATGCATTCCTTCACCTTTAAGCTATCATAGCGTAGTCTACGGCTCTTACCTCCCGCCTTTGCCTTCTCGCCGCCCTTCGAATTCCATGCATACAAAACTCTCATATGTAGGGCACTATGGTGCACAGAATGCATTTATTCTTAGCACTAAGCTTAAATAAAGTCCGAATTTCACCAGGGTCAACAATTCAACGCATGTATTCTAGTTCCGTTTGGTCAAAACCAGGCTGCGACTCAGTGCAACGGGTCGCAGGGTTCTCAGCTCGGTGGGAGTGGTCACGCTGTATTTGGCATCGGGTGAGACGTAAGAGTAGTAGGCGCTGACTGGCACACGCACATCCTGACGATCCTCGCTTAGATCGCTCAGCTTCAGGTAGCTGCTGGACCTGAGGTCCTCCAGGCTATAGACGGTGCGCAGACGCTGATCGTTGGCATCGCTTGATAGCTTGAGACGCTGCTCTCGTGAACGCGGAATGGCTTGGGTCTGTGTACGTTCCCGCTCGGGTTCTGTCTTTCTTTCGCGCTCCAGTTTCCTCTCTCGCTCGCGCTCTGGCTCCCTCTCCTGCTCGCTCTGCCGCTCCCGCTGCCTCTCCTGCTGTCTGTCTGCTTTCTCCTCCTTGTTGTTGTTCTCCTCTGCAGCTGCTGCCTTCGCCTTTTGATTTTCCTTCTGCGCCTCACCCCGCTGTCGCTCCGCCAGCATGGAAGTCAGCTCTGCCCGCACCCGTTCCAGTATATCTGCATCCTCATCACTCAGGCGCTGTTCCTCGCTCTGCTCCTGCTCCTCCTCCTGCTGCTCCTCCTGTTGCTGCTGCTTCTCAGCATTCTTCTGAGCCTCACGTATAGCACTGAGGTGGGCCTTACGCGCCTCCTGGACCTCAGCCGTGTCGCTCACTGGCAATGGCGGCTTCTTGTCATCGACGGGAGCTTTGGGCAGATTGGTACCCTCCGCTTTGAAGCCGTCCCGACCGCCTGCCTCGTACTTGACCGTCTGCAACTCTCCATTGGGATCCACATAGGAGTAGAAGCCACGCGAGGTGCCATCCAATGCAGTGTACTCCGCTCTGGCTGCATTCTCGTCGCTGTAGCCGTAGGAGTAGAAGGCGCGCGCTGTGTCCTGCTCCTGGTAGCCGCGTTGCACTGACGGCGCTGCAGTACGCGTGATCTTGATGATGGGTCTTAGAGTGGAGCCCGCTGCAAGGCTCCACGAAGCTGCAACTAGTGTGGCTAATAAACAAACGAGGCGATGCATCCTGTCGATCTAATCGATTTGTTGATTGCGTTTGAACTGATGCTGCAATGCGTAACGTTGTGGTTATTTATAGCTGAGCACATCTGCACCACTGGCACCGCTTCGCTGGTAACCCAAGCCCCACAGTGTCTGCGCAATGACCTTCCCAAATGGCATCTCCGACCGATCCGCTTACAAACCGCCACGGCAGCTGGCAAAGCTTCGATGTTGTAATAGTGAACTTAATATTGATATTGCTTGCGCATTGATACGGATACGCCCGATCTGAGCAGCTTGCAGATTGCGCAATTGGCCCACGCACTTGCAAACGCCCTCATAGGGCTTCACGATTTGTAAGCTTTTAAGTTCCGGCGAGCAGCAATCAACAGAGGAAGCGGAAAACACATAGAGGCAGGCACTGAGAGAGGGATAGACGGGGGAGACGTGCGAAAAGTGAGGGAGATAGATGGACAGGGAGAGTGTAAAAGAGAGAGAGAGAGCGATGTAGTGAGTGAGAAAGAGACAGTGAATATATAGAGAAAAACAAAGATGTTCAACTATAGAGATAAAGCAAAATAAAGATATAACGAGAGATGGATATAGAGTATTTCTGTGTTTCAGAGAGAGACAAAAGAATAATACAGGGAGAAGACAAAAAGAAACAGAGCGAGATCGACTTATATATATTAAACCCAATGGAACATTTTCAATTGGTTTGGTTAACCTACTAGAGAGTCGGAAAAGATAAGCTAATATAATATAATACTTTATTGTATCTAACTTTAACTTTATCAAACTTGATCTAATTTACATACATATATGACAACTCTTTTCACATCTCAAATTAATCCAACCATAAACACTTTATGCTTTCTGTATCTCCCACGAAGTAGTTTAGTTTATAGCTTTATAGCAGAGAGATTATGTGTAGAGTAAGGCTTTACGACGTAAAAACGGCCAGATGTGTTCTAGCCTCAGCATTTAGATAAACGCTGTTTGACTAAAACAAGTAAATCTGTTGAGGTATGTAGTTATAAAACTGCCTGAAGTATCGGCTTTACTAATTGGATCAGCCCCTGGAAACAGTTGCGCACTTAAGAGGTCGAATTTTTGTTTAAAGTCTCTAGCTTCAACAGTGTGGAGGGTATTGGAAACTCGTGAAGCCGACTCAAACTGATAAACGTAAACGGCCAAAGTCTCAGTTGTAGTTCTAGTGTACTGCGATCAGTTGTGAAGCAAACGCCGAACCGAAAGCAAGCTGAGCAACATTAGAGAGATATACATATATCTTCCGAAACCAAAAAGTGTTAATTGAGAATGGATTTGACTGGTAAAAATGTGGTTTACCTCGGTGGCTTTGGGGGTATCGGCCAAAAGGCGTGCGCCCAGTTGCTCGAGCGCCAGATCAAGGTGGGTTCGACAATCGCTTGAGACAAGTTTTCCTCCTCAACTCTCTGTGGACCTTTTAGGCGCTGGCCATATTCGATCTGACGCTGAATGAGCAGCTCTTGGCAGTCTGGCAGGCGCAATATCCAAATACTGAGATATTCTATCACAAGGTGGACATCACCCAGAAGACAGAGATTGAGGCGGCCTACAAAGCAGCTGCTGAACGCTTGGGTCACTTCGATGTGGTTGTCAATGGCATTGGCCTGATGAACGACAACTTCGTAGAGCTGACAATTCAAATTAATTTGGTGGGACAGTTTAGATCACGTATCTAGTATTCCAGCGAATAAAGAGCTTCACTTTTCAGCTGGGCCTAATCCAAAGCTCCTTCATAGCCTTGGAGTACATGGATAAGAGCAAGAGCGGTCGAGGTGGAGTCGTGATCAATATCTCTTCGGTGGCTGGAATTCAACCAACTCCGCTCATGTCCGTCTACTCGGCCGCTAAGCATGGAGTGACGGCCTTCACTCGAGGACTTGGAGTGCGTATCACAATATTCAAATTTCAACTAAGACTTATCCTCTCTCTCTGTCTCCCTCTCTTTCTCTTTATACCTCCCAGAATGCCCAAGTTTACGAGCAGACGGGCGTTGCTTTTATAACCATCTGTCCAGGGTTTACGGACACGCCTCTGCTCTTCGACATGATGAACAAGATGACATTCAAGCCTCGCACAACCATCAATAAGCACACACACAAGGTCCAATCTCCCGAGATCTGTGCCTCGAATCTCGTCAAGGTCATCGAACAGGGCAAAAGTGGTAGCGTCTGGCTGCTGGAGCTGGGCGAAATGAAAGAGCTCGACATGCCCGTTATGTGGAGGCCCACGCTGCAGAACTGAGCATACCCAAAGTGCAATAAACAATATCGAAAATATTCCAAATCAACTTTCCAGACTTGTTAATTGTGCTAAACTCTCGCATCATTCGAAAATCTCAGTCATAATCAACCACAGAAATTTCTACATGCAACCGAATCAAACCACAAGAATCGAACACAAGACTATGGTCAGATGACACCAGCTGAAAGTGTTGACTGTGCTTGAAAGATCTTGATCTAGTATTATATTCTAATTGTTAAATAAAAAAGTGTCTAATAAATTCCATAGGCTCGACAAATTTGTTTTCTTTGTTTGTATTTAAAAGCCAACCAAGTTCAGTCATTACTTCTTAATATGAACCACATCTACAGTTAGTATTATTTAATAACTTTTATTGAGAATTCTCGCACACACACATTAATTCGTTAAGTTTTGTTCAATTTCTAATACATTTATATTTCTTGAGTTTAAGAAGAAAATTCAGCACACAAAAAAATTACACACAAATATATATAATTAATTGAGTTGGTTTTAACACCGACACTGGAACAATTACAAAAACAAGACGAACGTATCTGTCAGATACAATACCTTGTAGTCGTATATATATATATGTATATATTAGTTGTTTAAGATCGGTTATGGTATGCTTTTACAATTAGTTAGTTAGTTTAAGATTATTATTTTAATAATAATTAGTACATATCTATGGAAATATAAAGACATTTGTTTGTTCTCCCATTAAACTGGGAGTAGTTCATATGTTAACTGTAAATTTCACATCATCACAATTTAAGATTCTCCAACTATAATAACACAAATCTATATGCCTCATCGCTGAATACTCCATATATCATTATTATTATTATTAATATTATTTTTATGTTTTGTACATATATTCAAAGTGTGGACATTTCATGGGTTTTCTATTTGTTTAGATAGCTGGCAAAATGTTGGTGTATAGATAGCATGAACTTTTCTTGGTATTTGTTTTTCTTAGTATTCTCGATATTCTGGTATTGTCCGTGGCCCAACACATTTGATGCATCAGGTTGGAAGCGTATATACTATACATGGATAGATAAACTATTGTAAGTCACTTGGCCAATTGAAAAGAAGCGCATGGATTTTGCAGCTACTTTTATATTTCGTTAAGCACTTGAGTAGAGCGTAGATCAGCTTTCTATATACTATATAGATACTGTATATACATATATGTATGTATATGTATATCTATTACACCCAGATTGCAAAGTTTGGTAATCCATTAATTTATGTTTGTCGAACTTCACTAACCCTAATCACAAGAGGAACAGAAGCGTTTATATCAAATAGGCATATATGTATATGTATGTATATAGATGTATATACATATATATATATTAGTATATATAAATATGTATATGACTTTAGTTGAGAATTGTGTCTCAGAACTTTGAATCGATTGTCCATAACTAGATTACTAGTTTACTGTTTACTTAATCATAGTTAACTTCGGGTGGTATTTCGTTATTTCTTAGTGGGTGGTGGTATCGTTTAAGTTTCTAGGTTTTCAATTAGCTAAATGTTTAATCGGCTCTGATATGTTGCATACACACGTTCTATATAACACACATATGTATATCTATAAATATGACTCATATGTTAACCTAAAATTCAAATCAAAAGCAAAAACTGAAATCGTACAAATTTATTGGCAAAGTAAAATAAATAAAAATTGTTGATTTTTTTTTTTCTTTTTTTCTTGGGAGGGTTAACAGAAATCGAAATCGACTTAATTTAATATTTAGTAATAATACAAAAAATACGTGTATTAAATATAATACATATCATAATATATAGCATATAGAAAATAGTTCGTATTTCTTTCTTTTTTCGACGATTTGCACTTGGAACCGAAGCTCTTCAAGCAGAGATATAATCATTTTTGTTAAAGGCGTACAAAACTTCAACAATGTTAGTTATGAACCCATTGGGCTTAGACTTGAGCTGCACCACGATTAATATACACTGTCAACTTTTCAATTCGTGTGCGGTGTCTTTTAAGTACACAAAAGGTTTAAGGTTTCGGATGTGTGGGTTTGCTTGATGATTCGTTTTACAACACTTAACGAAAATGTGAAACTAGAGACCAAATTGGTTTTGCAAATTACAAATACATATTACAAATCTCATTCGTTTTCATATATATTATATATATATATCGATCGAATTCAGTGCTCATCAATTCATTTCATTCCTTATTACATTATACAATATCCAAATGAACATATTGGAAATACACATACATAGGTACATATTCATTTTCTGCATATACATACAATATCATATTTTCTATATAAAAAAACATAAATAAATATGTATGTATTGCTTGTTTTAACCAAACAGAACACTCTGCTATCGCATTAACAACTGAGAAAATTAAATATATCGATCAGCTTGTTGTCTATATTTTTACTTTGCTTTCATTTTAACAACATATTCATTTCTAATATAGATCAAATCAGGATCATTTATATATATATATATTTATATATGTTTCATTTAGTATCGCTCGATCTCTGTTATATATTATGATAGATAGGTATGATAGGTTCTTGACTTTTGCTTAAAATATATTTCATATTTCTATATATATAAAAATCCATTTTAGTTTTTAGCATTAGAATCAAGTCTTTAAGCAAACAAAAAAAAACTAATAATTGTTTATCGTTCTGATATTAATATATAATATTAATATATCAATTAAAAATATTAACGCATGTATTACATACGTATTTAGTTATAGCTTTTATATATATATATGTATATATCAATTATATAGTATTTTGTAGTTATTTTTAATAGGGCTGCAAGTATACAGTTCAACGAGTACAACGTAAAAGGGACATGATTTTAATTTATTTTCAATAAATTTAATAATATAGTACAATAGTTAACAACATCGCACAATAGCGTTATTAAAATTTCTTTAAGAAATATAAACATTTATCCACGCATACTTATATAAATTATCAAACGTATGTGGGTCGCCCCCCCCCATCCCCTACTCAAAATCTAATCCCAACTCTTTAGATAGATATATAGATATATATACATATATATTATATATCCATTTCGCTTTCAGTGTATATATAAAAATAGTGTTTCGATTTCACATAGTTAATAATTAAGGTGAAAATTTAATAAAATCTATTAAAAAGTTTAAATAAAAACAAACTAAATATTGTATTTTTACTCGCTTCAGTCACTCGACCCGCCTTAGATTGGCTTTAGCACTTTGGCATAGAACTCCAGTGCAAAGGTTTTATCGGGATAAAGTCGTGTACTCTCATAGATCTAGATCTAGAGCTCTTATAGCGGGACTCTACACAGTTTCTCTTAAAACGGACGTTGCGAATAATGTTTCCCCTGCAGCTTGATTCGCTCTTTCCTTCAACTGTGTTTCTACATTTGGATAGCAACTATACAACACCTATGGAAATGACGAATCATTAATTTGTTAGCAATTTGAATAATATACTAGATCTATATGTTATTGTTGTGCTAAAAGATCGTGGCTAGTTGTAGACATCAATTATTCTAAGCACTATGTGAATCAAATTTTAAACCCAAATTAACAATAATACGGACTATTATAGTTCGATCAATCCGAACATCAAATATATAACATATATATATCGTATATATATATAGCTTGACAACACCTTTAAATAGACAATTATGTAATTACAATTTAAAATTCTATTTTCCCCTACCCAAATTTTCTTGAATTTATATTCTTTTGTTGTATTCTGTTTCTGTTTCTTACTTCATGGACCGATCGAATAATGATCAACCTTTAACTCCTCGCTTAAGTTAGTTAGACTGAAAAGTTCTAGAATTTTTTAGCTGTGCGGTTTACAAACCTGTCGTAATGTCCCCTATATGACATTTTGTAAAATGATTGCATTATGCTTCCACTCCATCGATCAATCGAACGACCGAACGATGTTTTGTTATATATATATATTTATATCCTTGGCCTAGTCCAGCTTTATGCCGCTATCATCGGGATTCGACCAGACCTCCACAATGTCCACGAGTTTCTTTTCCAGCTCGCTCATCATGCCGCTATCGATGCCACCCTCCACGCTATCCTCGGACATCAGCACTGGCTTCCTATCCTGCTGCTTCAGTCTTTCCGTTGGTGCGCTGCTGTTCCAATAATTGCTCGACGGACTGCTGACATTCGCATTCAGTTCGCTATTCCAAAGGAACACGCTATCACGTCCAGCAACGTTCTGTAAATGGAATTGATTAGCTGGGAACCTTGACTAAATTGAATACTCAGAAGTCTCACCTTATTGGCATTGGTGTTGTCATTGTGCTCTGGTTTATAGCCTGGCTTGGGCTCAAATCCTGCATAGCTAGTGTTCTTCTCGCTGAGGAACTCATTATTATTCTTCGCCTCATTCTCCACGAGCCAATTGTTCCAGTTGTTTGTCGCATTGCGTTTGGGACAAATGGGACCATAGCGGCTGTTCATCGATGAGCCGCTGGGCACATCAAACGTGGACGCATCGTCATCCAATATGGAATCGGAGCGCACAAAGTTCGCCGCATCCTTGTTGCTGTTATTCCAGAATATCAATGAGTTGTTGTTGTTGCTGCTGCTGCAGTTGTTGCTGGTGTTGTTGGTGCTGCCGGTGTTGCTGGGCCTAAACAATGGCATGGATTCGCTATTCGCTGCACTCTCGGCCAACGGGTCAATGTTAACAGTACTCGGCGGTTTCTTTTCATAAAATGAGGTATCAGCTGTTGCATGTGAAATGGTCGACATAACTCGACTGGGATTTTTGCTGGACGGCGGCGGCGGCACTAGCGTCGGCATATATGGATGCTCCCATGGATTGTTGCCGCCTAGTTTTTGTGACATCTCCACGTTGCCTTTGGCCTCGTTGCCAAAGTAGGGCGCATGATAAACATCCGCTGGAAGCATGCTGCAGAAGCTCTTGTTGTGATTATGTAGGTTATTGTTGGTGCTGTGGTTGCTGTTGCTGCTGTTGTTGCTGTTGCTATTGTAGTTCGGTGGGTTAATACGCGCTGCATTGCGTGGCGGTGGTGCAAAGTTAAAGCGTTGCTCGTATCCCAAAGCTGGTGGGGGTGGTGGCACCAGCAGTCCGTTGAGCGCCGTATGTGGCTGCTGTTGCTGTCGCCCCATGGGACTGTGGTGCCCACTTAGCATCTGCGGATGTACGGCAGCAGGCGATAGATTGTGTGCCGCTGGTGGCATATTGCAATTGGGATCGAGAAAGCCGCGAGCAGGCGGTGCTGGTGGCGGTGGTTGCATATAGCGTATGGGCGATATGGGCAGCATGGCCCCAGTGGGCACTTCGCTGGCCAACGGCAACGGCTTCTTATTGCCTGGTGGCATATTGGGCATAGCCATGTTCATGGGTGACTTAATATGCTTGCCACGATTGCGTGCTCGATAGCGCTCCACTTCCTCCTGCGAATGGGCAAATGTGCAGCTGGCTCCGCGTGGACAAACACGACGATTATTGAGATCGCGGCACAGACTAATTTTGTACTTGGTGTTGTTGTTGTTCGCAGATCCACCGGCTAGATTACTGTCCTGTGGCTTCCGTATGCCATGGTGCTGCAAGTAGTGAACCAGGCCCATTACAGCATGCCGTACAGCGTCCAAGGCTTTCGCCACATCCTCCCAGGCCGCTGTCTCTACGCACGGATCAATGCTGGCCAAGTATTGCAGATGAGTGTGCAAAAGCGCCAGCTTGGCCGGATCGCTGGTGCGCTGCAGCGCGATCACCAGCTCCTGCACGGACTGTGCAAAGGCGGACGGCGTCTGCAGCTTGTCAATGATGCTCTGCATGTGGGATTTGTGTTGTATGTCGCCGTACAACAGCGATGACCATTGTTCGGGAGCAATCCGTAGGCCAGCCTCTGTGGCTATTTGTACAATCTGTGCATCGTGTTCACGCCGCAGTGCATCGTAGGTGCGAAATTCCTCCTTGAGCTGCATCAGCGAAGAGTCTGCCTCGCGCTTGGACACCTTGAAGCAGCTAGCCCGATAGAGCAGCTGCACCACATGGCCAATGCTTGTCTTCGAGGCTTGCGGGAAGTGCGGCTCTAGCCGCTGCACCACAAACATGACCAACACCTTGCGAGATAGCGCAGAGCCCTCTTCCAATGCGAGCAAAACGAGCTTGAGTACCTCCTCTTGCATGGCAGGACCTAGGAACTGACAGCCTCGCGTTCGCACCGCTGCCCACAAATTCGAGCTGAGCTGCTGTGGGTTCTGATGCTGTAGAATCAGCTCGGTTACGGTACGTTCGCCCAAGGAACGGGCAGCTCGCAAGGCACGCACACGACCTTCCTCCTCCATTAGCTGGCAATTGACAAGAGTAACTAGCTTGCGTTGCATGGGCCTGGTTAGTAAATTACTGCTATTCAAGTTTAAAAATGACTTTAAATGCAAGGCCAACTCTTCGATGCATTTCTTGCCCAGCTTATAGCACTTGAGCTCTTCCGGCTGCAGCTTAAGCACACTTGGCGCCAAATCTGCCAGCTGCACCTCCTTGTTGGACACGCGTTTATCACCAACTGCACCACTGCCACTGCTGCCACTGCCATTGCCATTTCCATTTCCGTTTCCATTTCCATTGCCCACCAGTTGCAGTAATGCATAGTTAAAGGGCAAATTGTTGATGTCCGTTACAATTAGAGTCTGAATTACACAAACAAAAAATGATAAAATTTATTTGAGGAGCTGCATATTATAGCTCTTACCTGATCGTAGGGACATTGCCGATTGTAGATTGTGGTCAGACAGGGCTTGCATATAGTGTGGCCACAGCCGAGGCTGATCGGCACACGCTGGCTGGCTTCGAACTCATTACAGCAGATGGGACAGTTGAGAAAGTCTGTCCATGAGGGCGCCTGAATCGGCATGCTATAAAACCAGAGCAAAACATTCGATTCACACACACAGTTATTATCCAATCTATTATGTTAATAATAATATGTATGTATGTACATACATACATAGATACATGGGCAGTCGTTGCGCTTCTAACTTGTTTTACGATTACCGATACACCGCACCGATACCGTTTCGATACCCTCAACAACGTCAGCTGTCGTTCAACTGCACACACACATTCACAAACACGCACACAGTGTATATATATAGCTGTACACATTTGCATGTATGCTGGTATTTATACAATATGTCCACGCATGTGTGTATGTGAGCTTGCCACATACCTATGTATATGCAAGACTTTGGAAACTCGCAGCACTTCCTTAAACATTTAATAGTCATTGTATTTCTTTGTATAAAAACTCACTCACACATATATAAATATATGTATATCTACAACTGTCGTTTATATATTTATCACCTTGTATATGTAACTAGGGAGAAATTTGCACGTAGCTCAACGTCATCAGCTCATTGTCTGCTTTCTTTTTCCTTTTAACAAAGACACTTTTTGTCACCAGCAATTTCCCCATCAAAAGTCCTGTGCGACAACAAGCATCCCGTATATACATATATCTATATATACGTATATAACAGGCGGTCCTTGAGCCTATCAATAGGACTGTGCCCGAGCCCCCCTTTTTATAAATGAATGACAAATGGCAAACTGCAAGCTGGAGGCAGTGTTACGTTTCACTTTTCACTTCAGTATTCATTTGTTTTCTTCGTATACTGCACTCCACTGGTTAGTGATCGTTAACTCACCTTCAAATTGCACATATTATTGCATTAAATTAAAGGTACGAAGTTTTTTTTAATTTTCATTTGGCGTTTTATAAAAATGGGGAGTAGAACTGGAAAACTATCGATACTTATTATACCCGATGCTTTTTTATATAATCGATGGTAGAGGTTATGGTGGCAGCTCTAACTATCGATATCGGCATCTATTCGATACCGAGTCAGCTGATGGTATCAAATTCGTTTGTCTCTATTTTAAAACAGAAAAATTATAAGTTGTCGAATTTATTGATTTAGTTTTATTGCATCAACGTTTTGTATGTCTAGTGTGCGAGACCTTATCCATGTATTATTTCATTAAATTTATATCCAAACTGATAGGTTGTTACTCATAGCCAAAAAACGAACAGAAAATTGAGATAAGGACTGCTGATAAGACATATTAAGCAAGAATCCACGATTAAAAGTTATTTGTGTATAGAGATATATAATTGTGAGATTATCAGCTTGGCTCATTGACTAAACACGCTCGTTAACAAACAACGAAATAATTTGATTTTTGTATTTATACAAATTAATGTGCGCTCGTTTTGTTGCTTTGTGCACCGTAACTGGAGGCTTTGCTAATTTGTGTTTTATTAATTGCCACGCCCATTAGCCAATAGACTGCAATCAGAAGATAATAACATATTAATGACTTCAATTTACAGATATACTGATAAGTGTATGCTTACAAATGCCCAGCACAGAGAGCGCTGTTATCAGACCAGTCCAATTGGACGCCAAGAGGGACGAGATAAGATAGTAGAAGATGAAGGATAACGAGTATATTGCCCAGCCAGTAAAGTTAAGTAAACTGCTGAGACGTGGCTTATAGATTTTGTATGGCACCTCCTTCACGCCAGACTTCTCGAAGAAGCTGCCCGTCTCATGGAAGCTATCGATGATTCGATCTTTTTCCACATACAACTTTTGCAGCCAATCCGCTGCCTCCTTCTCGCCCTCCGGCACTTGCTCGAGTGGAATGCGACGCATCAGCATATAAGGCTCAACGGCCTTGCCATTGAGCAGGGACAGCATGGTGGGAGGTACCTGTAACAGAGCAATATAGCAACTTAAACAAAATCGCGAAGAGTAATTGCTAACGACTCACCTTCTCGTCGCTTTTAAAAGCCAAATTGATGTCATAGATGACGGGACAGATGCCACGCAATGTGGGCAGACTGGCCGTAAAGCCTTTCGTGCGTGGTATTAAATGATGCTTAAGCGGTGTCATTCCCCGTTCCTGAGCAAACTTAACGGACGCTTCGTGCTTGGCGGGGGTAAATCGTGTGCCCTCTGCATTCAAGAGCAACCAGGTGGGATCCGGATAGGAGAAGACAATCTTGAGCTGCTTGGCAATAATCTCCTTATCCTTGTCATAGTCACGATTGAGAAAAACAAACTCGGCTAGCCACCAGGCCCAGCCCATGCAGGGCACATATCTAATGGCCTTTTTCGCATAGGCCTTGCAATTGCCCAAAACTCCGACTTTCTCGCAGATCATCCAGCCAGCTAGCCAATCGATTTCATACTTATGATTCATCAAGAGCAGAACATGCTCCTTGCCAGCATATTTCTTCTCATCCTCGGCATCCATATACACTCGCATTTTACAGCCCGCATACCAATCGGCCACGAAAACAAGCTCTGTGAATCATTCATTTATATTACATTCTTACACATATATATATTGAAATCTATTTACTTACGGCAGTAGAAGGAATAGCATAGATAGTACATTAATTTACGGAAGAGATATTTATTGAAGGGCTTTAGGCAGATGTGAAGCAAAAGTTGCAGAAAATTGACGGTCAGGCCGCTGGTGAAGAAGGTTATCGCGATACATAGATGGATCAGTCTCAACTTTTTTAGCTCTTGTAACGTAATCATGGTTACGTCTTATATACAATATTCTATAAAAAGAAATAGATAGTAGGTAGAGAGAAATCGTAAGTTAAAACGCTAAATGTGTATAGATATATCTATAGTACGACTAGCAACTAGCGAATTTACGTAATATATATGTATGTATGTGTATACCTCTCGCCGTATACTTATTAGCCAACTTTTTTGTAGTTTATGACCAGCTGCTCACTTTGAACTGTGAAACGAATCTGACCAAAGTTCCAATCAATTAGCCAGCTAGTTATTAACAGTAGCTTACTTTATTTAGATAAGGAACATAACTCTACAAATAGATTGTGTTGCCCCTAGATATAGTGCACTATATATAATCAAGAAATGCCTTTATCTGAACAATCCGAAGGCTGACGAGCCAGCAGACGGAGGAAGGTTGGGCGGGGTGGTGGTCAGATAAGACTGACAGCAAATGCAATTCGTATAGATTATGGATGTATTCATGAACAAAGTCCGTGTAATCATTAATTCTCGCAAAGTCACCAATGAGTCTTTGTACTTATTTTGTAACTTCACAATGATTTACATAAATTACGTATGAAAGATACTTTTTCTGTATGGCTAACAAAATGTGAGCGCGCGCGCGTTTATGTATGTATATCGATATATACATACATATATGGATTATATATATACATATATTGTACGAATGTTTGTGTTTGGGTTGTGCGCGTATGACTGCCAGCGTATGCATGTGTGCGTTTGTTTTTGCATGCTCCAATAACCATTAGAAACACTTTTGTTGACTATTCAGTTCAATGATCTCGTGTAACTAATATGTTACGCATATATATATTTAGTTTATATTGATGTAGCCTATATACGTATGTATACAATGTATGACGATTCACAATCAATTGATCAATCTATAGTTGCGCGACACCAATTGACTTTTTATGCACCATCCAAACATATCTATTTGTATTGCTCGCGTTTGTAGTATGCGCGCACTTTACCTTTTGGCAACGTTTATTGTGCGTTTGTTGATTTTTTATTTATTTATTTATATATAGTTGTTTTCGTGTGACTTAGCGCTGAACGGCAATCGATGTGCTTTTCGCGCACGCCAACAGCAGCGCTTATCGATTGAACACAGTTAACAAACAGTTGTTAGTGCCGCCCTGGTTTATGCCTATTGTGTATAACAGCTGTTCTGGCGATTGGCGCCAAGATTTAAAAAACATTTTATCAATACAATTTGCTGTAAATATTGTTATTTATTTTTGTTGTTGCGCCAGCTCTCAAAAGCAGTAAATATTTATTGGTAGACAGAGCTGATAAAAGTCACTACTAGAAAAAATTATCATGGCGAATGCTACCAAAACATTTTATACTTCTTTTCGTCGCCTTCGAACATTTCCAAAAACTTATAAGTTTTATCTAATCAGCTTGACTCATTGACTGCAGTTATTTAATAAACGAACAAGTCGATAAGCAGTTCATGCTAAAGTTCACACTTGTAAATTGATGTATATATCTACATACATACATTAATATATTCTATTTAACGAAAATGTTTTTCACTTTTCATTCATTTATTCAACATATTATCAAATCGTTTATAAAAATCGTTAATAAGAAATATACATATAAATGCATGTATACAAAGCCCAAATCCCCGTTAAAAAGAACCCGGTTAAAACTTAATTGGTTTTCGCTTTGCTTTCGGAGACACCATAGTTGGATCCTTTGCTGACCTGCGTAACGTTGTCTGCTTTTTTCAGCAACACCGAAACTGAAAGAAATCAAAAATTTAATTTTTATATATATGAAATTTAAGAACATTTTAGCGAACTCACATAGCACGACTAGAGCTACTACAAAGATGACGCCATACCAGTTGGCACTCAGCAATGATACGATCAGATAATAGAAGAGGGAGCCCATTGAGGAGATGCCTATGATGGCGAAGACAAACAGACTGATGGGGCGTGGCTCGAAGACGATGCAGGGCATTTCCTTAATGCCCGATGTCTTGAAGAAGCTGCCCGACTCATGGAAGCTCTCGATTATACGATCCTTTTCCACATAGAGATTATGCAGCCAGGCAGCGGCCTCCTTCTCGTCCGTTGGGATTGTCTCCGTGGGGAAACGTCGGACAAGGATGTACGGATTCAGTGTCTCGCCACTCAAGACTGAATTTAGATTTACAGGAACATCTGAGTCCGATTTGAATGCCACATTCATGTCGTAGATGGCCGGGCAGATGTTACGCAATGTGGGCAAGCTGGTCGTGAATCCTCTCGTGCGTGGTATCAAATGATACTTGAGTGGCTTCAGTCCCTTCTCCTTGGCAAATTTCATTGCGACCTCGTGCTTGGCGGGCGTGAAGCGTGTGCCCTCCGCTGTGAGAAGCAACCAAACAGGTTCCGGATAGGAGAAGATGATCTTTAGCTGTTTGGCAATAATCGCCTTATCCTTTTCAAAGTCACGATTGAGGAACACAAACTCCGCCATCCACCAGGCCCAACCGAGCACTGGCAAGTACCGGATTGGCTTTTTGGAAAACGCTTTCGATGTGCCCAACATTTTCAGTTTATCGAGGAACATCCACAGCACAAGCCAATCAATTTCGTAGTAGTGATTCATTAAAACTACGCCATGCTCCTTGCCAGCATGCTTCAAGTCCTCGCTGTCCATATAGACGTGCAATCTACCGCCTCCATACCATTCTGCAAGCACGACCATCTCTGCAAAACAGTCAGAATACTTTCAAGTGATGAATCTATATATAATCCATAGGCCTTACTTACGTGAGTAGAATGCATACAGGGGATAGTATATTAACCTTCTGTATAGACTCGGGCTAAACGGCTTGATGAGTATCATTAGCAGACATTGTACGATATTACAACCGAATCCACAGGAGAAGAATGTGATCGCAATTACCAAACGCGGTATCATACTCCTCTTCAGCGCCTTTACAGAAACCATGTTGGAAACTAAAGATAAGAAATGTTCCAAAATTTTAGACATTTTTGTACAAAAATTATATTATATATTTAATATATATTGCCAACTTATTTAAAAGTATATTATATATTTCAAATTTTTATTATTATAGATTGATAATTAATAGACAATTTCGAGCTTCCGTGGAGATAATAATTCTAAGCTGATCGTTTCATGTGACAAAAATATATAAATATACATATGTATATATTTATATTTATATACATACATATATGTATGTACGTTAAATCACTTGAAAAACTACTTTAATTACAGCAATTCCTTTATAATCATTCTGTTCTGCTCCTTTTTCAAATTGTCAAAACTTTACTTAGTTAGCTCCAATAGCTCTAAGTCGTGTCACTTCTTTTGGAATATTTGTTCAAATTAATGGGATCCATTTGTCAACAAAATCCTTAATGCTTAATGAACTAGCTCACTTGGATAACATCTTCAAGCAGGACGGATCATTTATGTTTAACCTTGACGACCTTTACGTAACTGAACATGCATATAACTATACTAACTAAAAAACAGTTATATCATTTGTCAGATATACAAAACCTAATGCACATAAACTCATAACTTCGATCAAGATAGTGTTTATCGATATGCAAGATCACAGCTTCAATTATCATTAGCAAATGAGACACACTCACCCGAACTAAATGAATTTGATAGCTGAGTAGAGACAAGCGAGTTCCTTTCTTACACAGCCAGCTGCTGTGCTCAACTAAATGCCGAAATGTGTTTAACTGTTTCTTCCAGTTGTAATTCCATTGACTGTGCGCTGATATTGGTGATTAACAAACTAATCACCCTTTACCGTTATCAATGGAAAGAGAGAACAAATGTCGCTGTTGTCGCTGGCGTTGCCGCGTCGCTGTTGTTGTTCGATGGGTAGTATGGCCAAGATAGAGGAAATGAAACGCGCACTCCCATATATTTATACATATGCTTATGTATTTGTGTGTGTGTGAGAATATTTTTATGACCCGGCAAGGTGGCCATAGTTCATCCGAACGAATTTTACTCATTACACGCTATTAATATCGGTATCAGACACACACAATCACCTGAAGCCACTTGTTTGCTGTTATAAGTGTGCGCTATTCTCTATATTAGTTGATCTGCGACAAATTACTAGTTCAAAACCTTATTCAAATTTTAATGATCATTTCGCGTTAGCAGAATTTATTAAAAAAGTGAGACATAGTGATAGTGCTTTACTTTTGTTTTAACTTTGCTTTGGGAAACAATTCTATAAATAATCAATTCGAATATGTGAATGTTCTTAAGGCATCATGTGCAAATTGTTGTTATTTAAATACTAGAGCTTTGATAGCATATGCCTATCGGTAGGTCGAAAGCCTTGCGCAATGTCGATAAGCTTTTAGATCCGATACGTAATCGATAGATTCCTAATTTATGAACAAATAAGTGCTCCTCAAACAAAATGTTCAATCTGTTATTATGAAAAGCTATCTGCATTTTGCATATCTTCCAATTTATTTATATTGGCTATGGCCCTTTACAAATTAGGAGCAAGTCTATAAAATAATTCTGGTTACTTGATTTGAATTTTTCAGCGAGCAACAGCACAGAGGGCTGTTATTTAACATTCTCAACAGCTGTTAATGGATTTGTGCCTGTTAACGTAATATTGTCAATAACAGCAAAAACATTTCTTCTTCTTGTTTTAATGCCATTCCCCACTCTTCAGACACGAATAAAAGCCGTCGTCGCCGCAAATTTTTTGCAATGCTAGAAAATAATTAAAAAATTGAAAGTACTATTTCGATTGTCAAAAGGTGGAGTGTGTGCAGTCAGAGAAGCATAATTTTGCTTCTAAAACAAACGTAGAGTACGCATTTGCGAACGACAACAACGGACACAGAAATTCTGCCGGCAGACAGACGCTTTCTTTCCTGCAAGAACGAAAAAATAAAATAAAAAAAATTGTGCAGCGTGTAAGTATGGCAAACATACATAATCATTTTATCCCACTACATGTATTACATATTACAGTTAATTGTGAGTGTGTGTTAATCTGTTTTAAGCCATGTCGAGCTTGGAAATTTACGACTCGTCCAATTCGCAACTGAGCAGTGATGAATATAGCCACGACGAAGACGATGATGGATTGATGGATATGGCTGTGAGCAAACAACAAACGCAACCCGCCAAGTCGGCCAACAAATCGAACGACACTTCGCCGACCAAAACAGACAGCACCGCTTCCACCACGCCACGTAAACTGTCTGAGGACTTGGATGCAATTGCCGTCGCCAGTAAGCCGCCAGCTAGTCGAGAGCACACACAACGGCAAATCAGGCAAATGCAGCGGGATAATAAGGCTAATTTGTATTTCAAGCGGCGCAGCATAAAATGGTATGTAGAATTCATTGGTTATATTTTTAAATTATAAATTTTCAGATCCGCCTAGAATTTTTGATTGAAAGTAAAACTTTAATAGTTAGCTAATGCAACTGCTAGTCGCTCATTGAACTTATGAATCAACTTATTATGTCTGTCTGTTCCAGCTTTCACTCTTTAAGTTTTACAAGAAACCTCATATATCGATGCTTGCATTAATTTAGCTGTATATAGGTCTGCCATTGAGATTGTCAAAGTGACAGGAATTGCAGAATATGCTAGTCTAAGCTGCAAGTATTAATTGTCAATCTGTCACTCTTAAAATGAAGCAATTGTCAATTTTAGTGTTATTTAACACTATTTTGTGCTCATCTGTCAAATCACTTCAGAAGTAAGAAATTTGCAATCCTTCAAAAGTCATTAAAATTTCAATCAGCAGCAAATCGCCTCAAAGCATTAAAGATTTGCATACATTCAAAAAGTGGGAGAGTCTATATAAATTTCTTATTAAATGAAATTTCGATTTCTTAAAAATCTATCTGATAAACTAAATTTAAAAAATTTCTCCATTAATAGGTTGAATCAACGCTTGAACAAGAAAACTGACTACATGAATCAGTTAAAGCGAGCGTTGCCCAAGCATAAGGCGCAGGCCAAGCGCGTGGCCGATTACCGTGCTGCCAAGCGAGCCATCGAACGTGAGCAGCAAGAGCGTCAATTGCAGCATAATCAGCTAAAACAGCAGCAGCGTAGAGAACGCACTCCTAGTCGCAGTCGCAGTCATAGTCACAGTCGCAGTCACAGTCGCAGTCATGCAGGCAGCCTGTCGCCGGAGCTAATATGCCTGGATGATGATGACTCTCCAGAGAAACCCAACGATACTCCAGCTGCAAACTTGCACCATCAGCAGCAGCAGAAATCGACTGCAAGGACACCACCACCGCCGTCGTTTGCCTTACAGCTGGAAGTCAAATCCGAGGCAGAGGCTACTCCTGCTGAAAACGGTTCCGTGCTGGATGAGTTCCTTTCCATGAAACCAAACATAGCAGCTGAGCCTGTCATCGAAGCAGCAGCCGGCTGTAATAGCAGCGAACAGCAGCCGCCGCTGCAGGAGTTGGTTGTGCCAGCTGCAAAGGTCGAAGTTAGCTTGGACATGGTTGTGGAGGAGGCCACACTAAAACGTCGTCGCTCACCCACACCACCGGCGGCCGTGGATCCACACACTGAGAAGCGCACCAAATCTTTGACAACTGTAGATTTGGATGATGAAATTATAGAACTCGAGCAGCCAATACCAATACCAACACCAACACCAATACCAACACCTCTAACACTACAGCAAGCAATGCCAGCACCACCGATGACTCCGCAGCATAAGCCAGTCATTAGAGCCAATGCTGATCCCTTGAACGTATTCAAAGTAGGCTCGCCTTATTCTCTGTCTCCGTCTAGTGGTATGGAATACTATGTTCAGAAGAAGGCGCTCTGCCAGCAGCATCTGGAGCAAACACGGCCAGAGAATCTGGCTGCTGTGTCGCTTAGCCTGGAGACACCTTCGCCGTCCATTGAACCGATGGACATAGCCTATCCGAATCAAAAGCAGCTGGATGTGCCGAATATAAAAACAACGACAAACGTCACAGTAGGTCAAGCTGTAGTTGACTTTAACTCTTTTGGTACGCCCTACACAGCTCAGCAGCCGGCTCCGCAGGTACTGCTGCAGCCGCCACAGGCACAACAGCAGCCGCCTCCTCAGTCACAACAACAGCTGCTACAGCAGCCACAGCAGGAGCAACAGGCTCCGCAGCAACAACCTCAGCCACAGCTACAGCCGCCACTGCAACAACCACCCCCATCATTACCAGGTGCCAAGCAACGTGATGGTGAAAGTAAGCATACGCAAACTAATCCGGCTACAGCCGCTTCCAATAATACGCCAGTCGACCTGGACAATAGCAATAGCGATGCGGTCTTTCATCAGCGTATCAAGGATCTCTACACGGAGCTGGACGACATTATGTCGGATAAGGTGCGCGCTGTTAAGCCAGAACTCAAGTCCTATGGGGAGGAGAAAATGCGCATTGAAGCGGATCTCAAGACGTTGGATAATTTGATAGCCCAGAAGGAGGAGGAACACAATCGTCTACTACATTTGCGCACCGTCAAGGAGGAGTTGTTGGCGCGCATCGAGCGCAAGGAGCGCATACTAATATTGAAGGAGATCCTGCCCTCCGTACTAAACAAGAATTGCACCACTTCGGAGCTATACGAAATGCATTCGCTGCTGATAAATGAACAAAACGCGCCAATGCCATCGAGATATGGCCGCAACTCCATGGAGCAGTTGATTGATAGAGTCGAAAATGGACTGGATGAGATAAAGATATTGCGCAGGTAAATATGCCGATATATGGGTTTATGAAACAATTTCTTGTTACTTATACGATTTTTTATCTGCAGTGTCTTGGCTATGCAGACCAAGGCTCCTCGCCTGGCTGAGGTGCCCATGCCGCCACCTCCACCTCAACATTATGAGGCGCCGTCGCAGCACAGACGTGACTCAATGCCAGCTATGCGTTCGTCCTTACTAGCCAACCGCACATCAACTTATGCCCGAGGATCTAGCTCGCAGGAGAACGAACAGCTTCAGGAGCTAAGCAAGCGCAACAAGCCGCCGTCTCGGTAAAGTCAGCAGATATTGTTGTGTATGATCAAGTTTATTTAGTCCATTTACTTTGCAGCTATCAGCAGCTGATCAATGAGTCCAGACAGCTGACTGGTTCTACGGCCGATCTCGCTGCCACCTCCACATATCGCCAAAACCAATCGATGGACACGCAGTCACGCAGCCAGCTGGATAACAATCATATTGATGAGCTGCCGCTCAATCCGTTGTACAATAGCAGTCCACTGGCTGCTAGCCAGGAGCGCAAACACAGCAATACACATACACAAGTGCGTGTACTGAAGTCTTAAGCAATCCCATATTATATCTATGCTAATTTTAGTTAAACGATCTACATTCCATGCGACGTGCGGGTATGCTGCAGAGTCTCGATTCGCTGGATCGTGCTGGGAACCAAACCAATCGCAATACCACTAACAATCATAGCAATCGCTTGAGCTCTGCTACGAATGGGCCGGACTTGGAGCCGGAGCGTCGTTGCCAATTCTGTCTACGCTATAAGGCCACCTACATGTGCGCCGCCTGCCAGAATCAATGGTACTGCAGCCGTGAGTGCCAGGTGAGCGAGGATTGTCTATATGTCTATTTGTATATCAGTTAATATTTAACTATTTGAATTTCTTGCAGGTGCGCGCCTGGGACACACATTGGGAGTCGTGCCCCAATTAGGATATACTCGCTGTATCAGCATTACTACTAAAATTAAATACATACATACATATACAAATGTGTATGTACATATATATATATATATGCATAGTAAACACCTAAATGCAAAGCCCCACTATTTCATACATTTATATCAAACACTCATTCGTAATCGTAAAGTTTCGCTATCGGAATTTATAATTGCAATGCATTAAAACTAAAAAACGTACACGTAATTAATTTACAAACACACGCAGAGACACATACACACACACACACACAGGCACATACATATTCCATTCATATTCAAGTGTCGGAAATTACAATAGCTCAATATTCGCAAACACCATTAAAAAATTAAATAACAAAAAAATATATATAAACATGCTATACTCAGTGTTAAATTAGTTACTTATATTGATGTACTTCAAATCTGGCAGCTGTAACTACAGTTGCCTGTTTCTTGATTGACTTTAGTTGATATGACCCGGCCGATCAGCTATATATACATACATACATATATACGTCAAAGTTGCACTCGCAAGCAATTCAATTATTTTTTATAATTTATTACAAATTGTTGGCACCTTTAAAAAAAATCTTTGTTATTGAGGCTCTTAAAATCAATGAATATTTTATGGAAATTTCTCTTTCAATTCTTTACGCAATTTAATTTCCATTTTCCATTGCATATTTTCGTGCACCTTCAATATATATGTACGCGATATGTCGGCATTATATAGGTTCTATTACTAACGGCAAATGTGTTTTTGGTATGAAAGCGATTTTGTTTTCTTTATAAGTTTTCACTATTTGTTTCATTATTTTTTACTCATGTGCAACATCTTAGTACTATATCATAGATCTTCCATAAAACTCTATGGATTTGTGGATTAGTTTTAAACGTTGTGGTAAATCGTATGAATTTTCAGCACACTAAATATAATTGTAATTTTTGGTTCTATATTTTATTTTCAAGGAATTTTAGGATTTATAAAAAAACAAACTTCTTTATAGATATTAATTATTTAAAAATAAAAAACAATTTATTTATTTACCTATTTCTTTTTCTATGCTCAACGGAGAACTCACTCCTATTAGAACATATTCGCCAATTGGAATAACCTCTATAGCTGCAACGAATTCCAATTAGCGAGCGAGCACTGTAGACGTTGACCTACAAAAGTATACTACCTAAAATGCATTTGATGTGCTTTATTTAAAAAAATGTTGAGCATTTAATTATAGTAATTAATGTAATTAAACTGTACATAGATCAGATTTGTCTATAGATGAATGAAGCAATTATCATAATGCAAGAGCTTATGATGATGTCTATGGATAGAGCTATCTATGTGTGATGACTGAGGCGAGGGCAACGTCATTATAAAGAGATATATCTATAACGTTTGTATGCCTGATAACTTGGGAATGTTCTATCCAAAGAGCTTATGTATTTATAATGTAATGTCTTCTATATATACAGGATAAAACATATAACTATATTGAGCTAGCTAGCTTTCTGTCTCCTATCCCCTATGATGACCAACCATATAAACTATATATTCTATACAGATAGTTCGTAGACCCAAAATCAGTCAACACATGTGTTGCCAAACCTTGATACTTTACATAATGCGTAGATAACTTACATAATAGATCTATGCAGGTGTCGTCTAACCTTGAAACAGCCCATAAAGCATATAGCAGACATGGATATACCCTAACATGGCCTAGTTAAACAATCCCCCCGCAGCTCCTTCGCCTACTTACTGTAGCCGCGCACCTGGCACACCAGCTGAATGTCGGCAATGTGCAGGTGCAGCGGCTGCCTGTTCGTCCAGCGGATGCGTCGCAGCTTCCGGATGCGCAGCTGCCGCTTGCAGTGGAGCTTAAACTTCAGATTCGGATTCCAGATGCTGTCGCTGCCCCGCCGAGTGACGCACTTGAAGGCGTACTGCCACCAGAGGCGGCTGTTCTGCTTTGTGCTATGCTGCAAATTGGGGGCAACGGAACGAGAAGCGAGCAACAACGAACGAGAAAACAATTTCATTAGCTGTTATATTGGCATACGAATTGATATATTCGTTTTTGATTCATTTTTGGCTTTACGAGCAGCACTCACCATATAAACGGGCAATACGTAGAAGCGTTTGCACTCGCGCCTCCTAAAGTTGAATGCGATCGGATGCCGCTGCGTGGCCGACACCTTAGTCAGGTGCGAGCGTATGGCGCTCGAGTGGGTCGCTCGCTGGTGTTGCAGTCGGCCCTATTGTAGTTGTTGTAGTTGTTGTTGTTGTTGTGCGTTTGGTTCGCCAAATCGTTTTGGTTATGGAATTACAAAAATGGGAAACGAGACAGGCGCACACAGGTACGCGCCGCTAATTAATTCATATTCAACCATTTTATATGCATATACATATTTTTCAAACAATTGAACATATTTTCTAGCTAACAATATTTTAATACCCTCACAGAGGGTACAATTGTATGGCCGATGAACATGTAATGAGAGCTCAGAT